CCACCCACCTCTCCATCCTCCTCCCCCGCCTTCCCCTACCCCTCTTTTCTCTAAACACTAGGATGCACAGGGTCTCTGCTTCGCAGCCACTGGCAGTCTAGTTAGAGGAGAGACCCAGCTGGGGCCCTGTCATGAAGCCACCTGTGCCATTCCCTTAGTGATAACACAAAGAATACATTACAGAAAAACATCTGGAGTTAATCAGTCTAATCTGGAAAATCTAATTCTTGTTCCGTGTAAGAATCAGCCGACCGCAACCGCTGATACTGAAACTTTGAAACTTGCTACGCTTAATGTCAGATCTCTTTGTAACAAGTCTTTTTTAATCAATAATTTTATTTCTTCTCATAATCTTGATCTTATGTTCATGGCTGAAACTTGGCTTGACCAAAATTCAGAAAATGCAGTTTTAATAGAAGCATCACCACCAAATTTCAAGTTTGAATCTGAAATACGGGAAAACAAAAAAGGAGGAGGCTTAGCTGCCATTTTTAGAGACCACTTTGTCTCCCATAGAATGTCTCTTGGGAAGTTTTCGTCATTTGAATATGTGTCTTTTAAAATACAACAAAAACAATCTCCTCCAATACTCTTCGTTGTCCTATACAAGCCACCGCAGTCATGTCACAGTTTTATTGATCATTTTACCGAGTTGCTTTCAGTTGTATGCACAGATTTTGATAGTTTGGTTATTACAGGTGATTTTAATATTCATGTGGATAATGTTGATGACAGAAATGCAAATGAGCTGAGTTCTGTACTTGAATCCTTTGATCTCACTCAGCACGTAAGTGGCCCCACCCACAGCAGAGGGCACACTCTAGATCTGTTAGTTACAAAGGGGGTGATTATTTCAAATGTAAACGTGGTCGATGTTGCTCTTTCGGATCATTTCTGTGTTTTTTTTGACATGTGTTTCACTAACAAACCACCAGTGGACTCTGCAACTGTTCGAAGAAGGCGCATAAATGAAAATACGAGTGAACTATTTATGGAAATGATAAACTTTGAGAATGCATCGTATTCTACTGTAGATGAACTGTTTAACTCTGTCACCTCTAGTGTTTTGAATGTTCTGGATACCGTTGCCCCTGTGAAGGTTAAAATAGTGGAAAATAAGCAGAAGGCGCCGTGGGCTAAAGCAGACTCGGTCAGGGCACAAAAGAGAAAGTGCCGGAGGGCCGAGCGGAAGTGGCGCAAGTCCAACCTCCAGGTAGATTACGAGATCTTCAAAGATAAGTTGTGCGAGTTTAACCGGGTGCTACGTAGTACGAGAGAAAGGTATTTTTCTGAAATGATTGAAGGCTGCAGCAACAATCTGCGTGTTCTGTTCTCAACAGTTAATAGATTAACAAACCCCCCTGTTCAAATGCCATTAGAGCTTACTTCCAAACGTAAATGCAATGAGTTTGCTAATTTTTTCAATGACAAGGTTCAAGGCATCAAAAGCGCCATTGTCTCCAATCCACAGATAACCATCCAACAGCCAGAAAGGCTCTCTGAGCTAACTCACTTTGCACCTGTAAATGATAAAACTGTCCAAGAGATAATCTCCAGTTTGAGCTCCTCCACATGCAGCCTGGATGTACTACCCACTAGATTTCTGAAGTCTGTTCTGAGCAGTCTGTTACCTTCACTCACACAGATAGTAAACATGTCCCTTCATTCTGGAATATTCCCAAAGGCCCTGAAAACTGCAGTCATCAGGCCCCTGCTAAAAAAGAGCAGTCTGGATGCCACTGTACTTAACAACTATTGTCCCATCTCAAATCTGCCATTTATGGGGAAAGTCCTTGAGAAAGTTGTCTACCTACAGCTTACTAGATTTCTTATAATCAACAACTCATTTGATATGTTTCAGTCCGGCTTTAGACCCCACCACAGCACTGAGACTGCTCTCGTTAAGGTTACAAACGATATCCGGCTGAACACTGACGCAGGCAAAGTCTCAATCTTAATCTTGTTAGATCTAAGTGCTGCCTTTGACACCGTCGACCATGAGATCCTCTTACAGAGACTAGAGGACTGGGTTGGCGTCACTGGCACCGCCCTAAGTTGGTTTAGGTCTTACCTTGAAGACAGGAAGTACTTTGTGGAGATTGGAAACTGTGTCTCAGATCATATGGCCCTGACCTGTGGAGTCCCACAGGGGTCGATCCTGGGACCTCTTCTGTTCAATCTCTACATGCTGCCGTTAGGTCAGTTAATACGCAGAAACAAAGTTTCCTATCATAACTATGCAGACGACACTCAGATCTATGTCTCACTGACTGCAGGAGAACATGGACCAGTGGACTCACTCCTTCACTGTATCCAACAGATCGGTGAGTGGATGCAAAGCAACTTCCTTCGGCTGAACGCAGACAAAACTGAAATGATTGTCTTTGGTCCCCAGAAACAAAGAGAGAGCGTCATCTGTCACCTACAGTTTCTCTCCCTAAAACCTTCAAACAAGGTCAGAAATCTAGGGGTAATACTGGACTCAGACTTAAATTTTAAAAGCCACATCAAATCAGTAACATCAGCAGCTTTTTACCATCTAAAAAACATTGCCAGGATCAAAAACATAGTGTCTAAAGCAGACTTGGAGATTCTTATCCATGCATTTGTCTCCAGTAGGTTAGACTACTGCAATGGCCTGCTCACAGGTCTGTCCAAACAGGCTGTAAAACAGCTGCAGTACATTCAAAATGCAGCAGCTCGAGTCCTGACAAGAACCAGGAAGTACGACCACATTAGTCCAGTCCTCAGGTCTCTGCACCGGCTTCCTGTGGCTCAGAGAATAGACTTTAAAACAGCTCTGCTTGTGTACAAGTCTCTCCATAGCCTCGCACCAAAATATATTAGTGACATGTTAGTCCCATATGAACCAGCCCGGACTCTGAGGAGCACAGGGACTGGACTCCTGTTAGTGCCCAGAGTCAGAACTAAACATGGGGAGGCTGCTTTTCAGATTAATGCTGCTAAAATCTGGAACAGTCTTCCTGAAGATGTGAGACAGGCCTCCTCTCTGACAATGTTTAAAACCAGGTTAAAGACGGTTCTGTTTAACTGTGCATACAACTGAGGGATTTTATATTTTTATCTTTCTTTTTAATGTTCTGTGATTATTTATGATTTTAATGCTTTCTTGTTTTGTTCAGCACTTTGAATTGCCTTGTGTATGAATTGTGCTATATAAATAAACTTGCCTTGCCTTGCCTTGCATAATTAAACTGTATAATGTAAATATATATGTATTCCAGGGCTTGTTGACATGGAAATCAGCTGTTTATGTAATTGAATGAATACTGTATCTTTCCGAGTATGATTCAAATCTTAATACAGGGGACTTTTCTTTCAATCTGAGTTGATACGATATATTTCTATACAATGCGATACATATAAATATAAGATAAAGGTCCCTTATGTCATGTTCTGCTCCATTGTTACAAAAATACAACTATTGATGCATCTCAAAATAAATAGAATGTTAAAAAAAGTGTAATGTAGTTTTTCAATCACAGACGACTGCTGTTGCGATGGCTATACGACAACAAATGGAATTGAATTTAGTTTTGTCGCTTAACAATAAGTGGAAGGAGATTGAATGTCACTCTGTGTTGTAAATCTCTCCCGTGCCCCTGAGTATGTTCGACACTGGTTTATTGTTGGTTTCTGTAACTGAAACTGTAATGGTCAGTTTTGCTTTTCATTGCAGTGGTGGACAAACGGCCCTATGAGAGTGCATTTCACTGCATAAGCCCCCACAAAACCTGCCGCACATCTGGAAGCCTATCCCAGAAAGTTATATTTAGCCACCTGCTTTAATTAGATTTGTAAAAGGGATGTGTTCATTTTCTGCTTGACATGCAAAGTAAAATCCCTCTCTGTGGACTATCTCTCGCTAATATTAGAAAGTAGTTTTCTGTTCTTGGAAAAAGAGAGATCAATTATTGAGTCCCATCTGTTGCCATGTGATCGTTTTGGTGCAGTGCCACCTGTTCTCTTTTTAGCAGCAGAAATAGGATGTTTTTTCATGTTGTATAGTTTGCCGTTGTTCAGTATGTACATCTCAAGCATGTCATATTAAATCTCTCTGAATAATTGCTTTAATGGTAATACGCTGTTTATAGTTTTTTCTAACTTGTCAACTGGAATACACTGGGACGTTGCAATCTGTGACCCTACGCAGCAAACCTATTTAGATTTACATATGTCCACAAGCATGATTAATGTCCCTCCAGTTTTAGATTACAATGGGTGAGTTCGATCTCTTTATTGTCTCTCTCTCTCTCAAAGCACTTTACATCAGGGACCGACACACGCTTTCAACAATGAGAAGATCGTCCAGTGATTCATGGTGACCTCACCTGTAACTAAGGCCTGCTTTCACAACAGTAATCTGAGCTGGGAGGAGCTGATTTTTATTGTGGCATGCAATCACGTCATCATTATTCAGCAATCAATGAATAGTTTTGCCATCTTCATACTGCCATAGCAATACATTGAGGTCCTTGAAAAATAGGAGGTTCATCTCAGGAGACTCTCCTTAAGAATAGATAAATAATAATTATTGTTATTATTATATAATGTTTGACTCCTGATGCCTGACATACAGAAGTGTTTTATACGATTATTTACAGGCAGTGTTGGGAAGAATACTTGAAAACAAGTGAAATCCTGTTACAAAAAACCTGTTTTTAGAAGCATTTTTTTTACAAATTCCGTTCCATGGTCCAATCAGGATACTAGATTCTGAATACATATGTGTTCAATAATTTGTATGATGTTACGGTATTGTGTAAAATATATAAATAAATGATTCTGAATACAGTGACTAAAAAACAGTATTCAGTAAATGTATTTCCGTTACTCACCAACACTTCTATATATAGTAGTTCTTAAAATGAATACTTTAAAACCTAAAGTCTATTTCTGTACTCACCAGGTTTGAAGAGCTCTGATCTGATTGGCTCCCAGGTCGGCTGTGGTTCATCAGGAGACTGTGAGACAGGACCATGTCTATCGCCAGCAACAGCCCAGAAAGGGAAGGCTCCATGGCTCATCTGGACTGCCCTTCATCCCCCCCGGGCCTGGACCCTGACCCCTCCAGCCCTGTGCTCAGCCCGGACTCATCCTCCCATGATACCGCGCTCTCAGCTCCAGCGGGATCTCCTGCAGACTCTGAAAACCTCAGTCCAGATGAACTGGAGCTGTTAGCCAAACTAGAAGAGCAAAACAGGTTTGTCACATATTTTACCAGAACAAAGCACTCAGACAGTCACAATAAAGGAAAAAAAATCACGGTTGTTGATTCACACTGTATATTGTTTATTCTTTGAAAGTAGCTGAGATTTTAACATTTCCTTCCTTTTCCATCAAAGGAAGGAGGGTAAACCTATCACTTAAAAAAACTGTGCTATACTAGTTGAAACTCTGCATCGTAATTGTTTTGAGGACACGATGTTAAGGCAGCCCTTGGAAGACTCATCGCAAAAGATTGCATTTCACATCCACGATTCCGTGTTTGATGCGTATGTTATGTATGACACGAGAATACAAAAAGAAGGCCATTTAGGAAGCCCAAAATCAGCACAATGTTTTTACCAACAGATTGTTAATGTTCTGATAAACGTAGATCATGATTTTATCATTTGAACCTTTTAAATGTTACAATCTATCTAAAACGATTCAATAAAAGAAACATTCACGCCATCTTCCATATCATGAAGGAAGACGCCCAACATGGTGGACAACACAGAAGCAGACCAGAGTGGCATTTTTCTTAGTCCCCCATTTATGCCAAAATACCTGTCAATCCAATTATTAGTGTGACACAGATTAAAAGAAACAAAATCAAGACATAAGCGTTCGGCGTGTACCAGTTCTGGACAGTTCAAAGAAATTCGATACATTGGATTAAAATGAAATGCTTTAGAAATCACTGTAACCTGAACGTTTGTTTCCCATGACTTTCAGGTTGCTTGAGGCCGACTCCAAGTCCATGAGGTCCATGAGCGGTTCGCGACGCAACAGTGGCTCCTCGCTTGTGTCCAGCTCCTCGGCCTCCTCAAACCTGTCCCACCTGGAGGAGGACACCTGGATCCTCTGGGGGCGCATTGTCAACGAATGGGAAGAGTGGAGGCGCAAAAAAGACAAGCTCCTAAAGGCGAGACGCTTACAAAGCATTTATCCATGAACTAGAAGATTTAGTGGTTGGTCTTTGTCAAAGTGTTAGCACAGACTAAGACAAACTGTAATCCATATCAACACATACGTACATAATAAACTCAGTGGTGTGAAACCGGCAATTTGTAACTAACACAAGTCACAAGTCATAGATTCTAAACCTCTTATTTCCCTCGCGGTGGCTGATAAGAGCTGGTGTATCTCTGGACCTGTGCTCCTCACACACACATGCACATGGCCAAATGCTCAATACTTTGGTTCATCAGCTTTTCTTTACAGAAGTGATCAGGGAACAGACTACAGCGTCTGTGCCTACTATAATGATCGATGGTCTACTATCCGGAGACTTAAACATATCAGTGTTACACCATGTCATTCACACTGCAGTCCATTTCATGTATTCATTTTGCCATCTTTGTAGTTTAATTGACCATTTTAGAGTCATTATGCATAATGAAAGCTGTTGCATTTTTCTATGGCACAACAACCAGTCAAGAGGAACACACGTATTAGTTTGAGAACAAGCACACAATTGTTCTCTTCGCCACTACCACAGTGTTGTTTCTCATCATTTACTGATGTTACTTGGAACAATGGAAAACAGAAGCAGGTAATGATAATGCAAGAAATATGTCAACATTTGTGTGAAATGGGGCAAGTTTTAAAATTTCTCACGGCTTTGTAGAAAGTGTTCAAAAATAGATAGTTTGATGGATACATTGATGGTGATTTCCGTTATTGTCTTTAGTTATAATATTACATTATATAATTGATTATTGAGGATTCATTGATGCTTTATGAATAAATGCACAAGAGATACGCAGGTGGTGTTGAATGTCAAACAAATAAAATATATTAATCTCTAACTTGTGTACGAACCAAAAGCAAACGGCATACTAAATAAACTGATTTACATTGTTCAAAAAGGGGTTGGACGAAGCAGGCGTTTAGTCGCTCTAACCCCTCGCACAACACACACACACACACACTTACACAGACAAGACACCGGCCCAAACACTCTCTGACCTTACACTTCTCTCCAATCACTCGCTCTGTGCATCATTCTCTCTCCTCCACATACTTCTTCAGTAAATAGTGTTTTAAGTTAATTCAGGTTTGAACATATTTTTAATTCTGTTAAATTGTTTCAAATGTTAACTCCACAAGATACAAATTGGTGTAAAAGTTACTTCATTTTGCTTATTTTTGCAATTATGGTGATTATCTCTGTTATGGATTAAGTGTTATAGATTAGGTGGGGAGAGTTTTCAGATGCCTTGAACAGTTTTTGAATATTGACAAATGTGTAAACACCAATGCATTCAACTGTATGTATCCTCCGTCATTCTCACTCGTCATTTGTCTTTCACAGGAGCTGATCAGGAAGGGCATCCCTCACCATTTCCGAGCGATCGTGTGGCAGTTGCTGGGAAATGCCACCGACATGCCGGTGAAGAACCAGTACTCAGAGCTGCTAAAGATGTCGTCTCCGTGTGAGAAGCTGATCCGCAGAGACATCGCCCGCACATACCCCGAGCATGATTTCTTCAAAGGCCAGGACAGTCTGGGCCAGGAAGTCCTCTTCAATGTTATGAAGGTACCACCCCCTTATCATTAAGATTAGCTATTGTAAGGCAAGTTTATTTGTATAGCATGATTCATACACTAGGCAAAACAAGATAGAAACAATCACACAAGGCATTCAAATCATAAAAAAGCACAGTACATTAAAAAGAGTAGTTATAAAATCCTTCAGTTGTGTGCACAGCTAAACAGAGCTGTATTTAACCTGGAACTAAACATTGTTAGAGAACTGGAGACTGTTCCAGTTTTTTGCTGCATAAATCTGAAATGCCCCTCCTGACCTTACGGCAGCATGTATAGATAGTGTATACATTTGCATATTTGTAAAGTTTAGTTTATAGTTGAATATCTATCCTTAAGACTTCGGACTGATTGTGACTTTGATTTTATTGAAGAGATCTGGCAAAAGGAAATGTGCCTAAATCTCCAACAATAAGCTCCAAATTGTGGACTCTGGTGTTCTGCTCCTCAGGAAATGAGTTCCATCTGGACCGGTCTTCTGTTTGAGGATCTGTGATGTTCATGAGACATGTGTCTAAACATAAGTTTGTATTGTACAGGCTTACTCCCTGGTGGACCGAGAGGTGGGCTATTGTCAAGGCAGTGCGTTCATTGTAGGGCTGTTGCTGATGCAGGTAAGAGAGGAAACATTTAATTAGCGTTATTTTGAATAGACAGTAGAGATCATGTACTTGTTGTTCCTCCAGATGCCAGAGGAGGAAGCGTTCTGTGTGTTTGTGCGTCTGATGCAAGAGTATCGTCTGAGGGAGCTATTTAAGCCCAGCATGGCTGAACTGGGCCTCTGCATCTACCAGTTTGAGTATCTGCTGCAGGTACGACTGGGAGCTGTAGTGTGGCCTTTAGCCACAAGGGGGCATAACTGCAGTGGCACTTGACCTAAAATCCTAATAACAATGCATGTATTGACCACAGGAGCAGCTCCCTGAATTGAACATACATTTTAAGTCCCAGAGTTTTCACACGTCCATGTACGCCTCGTCCTGGTTTCTCACCCTCTTCCTCACCTTTCTCCCTCTTCCGGTTGCCACACGTATCTTTGATATTTTCATGTATGAGGTATGTATATGGTCTGTTGTTGGTTTGTATAATAAAGTTTTCAAGAGCTGAGTAGAGAAAGTGGTTTGTGTAATTTGTCTACAGGGCCTGGAAATTATTTTCCGTGTTGGCATGGCCATCCTCCAGTACAACCAGACTGACCTCATTCAGCTCGACATGGAAGGCATGTCACAGGTGAGGAAAAAAGCAACTGTTAGAAAAATGTTCATGCTTTTATCATGTTCTAATTTGTTGATGTTTTGCACTTACAGCATTTCCAAAAAGTAATTCCCCACCAGTTTGACAGCTGCCCTGACAAGCTGATACTCAGGGCTTATCAAATCAAGTACAACCCCAAGAGGATGAAGAAGTGCGTATCGTTGTTTATTATGCAAATCAGACAATAAACTATAAACTGACACTACTCAATATTCCACTACAGGTTAGAGAAAGAATACACCGCAATTAAGAACAAAGAAATGGAGGAACAGATTGAGATAAAGGTATGTACAGTAAATGATGAGACCAATCAAGATGATTTTTGATTAATATTCTCTTTTGGTTGTGTTAGCGGTTGCGCACAGAAAACCGTCTCCTAAAGCAGAGAATTGAGACGTTAGAAAAGGTAAGCATTCCTTAATTTTTTACTTTATATCAGAGTCTACTGTGTAAGTATAATTTGCCACACATTTCAGAAATATGTAACTTAAATTAAGCAGCCTAAATATTAAAGTATGTCTCTTTTCACTTTTACCAATTCTCATGTGGCCTTTGGACATGTCTCTGCTCCTTGATTTCACTTTATTCGCCCAATGTCTGCCCCTTCTCTCTCCTCTCCTCTCTCCTCTCTCCTCTCTCCTCTCTCCTCTCTCCTCTCTCCTCCATCACTGCAGGAGAGTGCTGCTTTGGCAGACAGACTGATCCAGGTACAGTACTGGTGTCCACTTTCCCCTTCCTCTCCTTTGTTTCACCCCTTAACGCCTGTCTATGCATGAATTATATTGTCTGATGAACTGAATGCATGGTGAACTCATCAATCGTACTTTACAGTTCTGTAGCTCCCTTATGTGGCATGAAATAACAATTGTGATGGACACTGTAGTTGTTTATTTGATGTGTACACAATCAATCTGGCAGTAATAGCTATAGTTATGTCTAATGCGCTTTACAATCTATAGCTCTACATACACTGTAAATGCTGTCATCATTTGGTGGTTATGATTCGCGTAGTGTACCAGCAAATGTTTGTTTTCCACGTGTCACCATGTCACTATGGAAACACAACTCTAGCTAAACAAACGCGTGTGTTTTTTCGGTTAACGAAAAACATCACATGCATTTTTCAGGAACGTTTCAGAAGATATGGGGGAGTGTGACTAAGAAATACACTAAGGCTAACCTGTGACTATAATGTGATCAATTTCTGTTGTAAAAGAATGTGTAAAACAAAGCCCACATTTAGTCAAATTATCAGTCAAGTAAAATAAGAATGCTAGACTTAAATGGAGAAATGGAAGTATGAATCAATGGGAATAATTAAATAATTATTAGGATTATTTTCATAGTGATTGCATATCTAGGATGCAGGACCATATACTTTTTTTAAAAACAAAATATTTAATTGTGTTATGTGGTGAATTTGCTTGTGCTCTCCAGGGTCAGGTGACACGGGCACAGGAGGCCGAGGAGAACTATGTGATCAAACGGGAGCTGGCGGTGGTGCGGCAGCAGTGCAGCACGGCGAGCGAGAGTCTGGAGAAAGCACAGAGCACCATCAGAGAGCTGCAGGAGCATAAGGTAACACTACAGCTGTGATCAGGATCGATGAGCTAATAATACCATAATGGTGAAACTCTGAAAATTAGAATATCGTTCAAAAGTTCATTCATTTTCATAATTCACTTTGAAATTGTATTATTATGGCTTACAATGTTGCTGTTTTATTTTGGTATTTATTTTTACAAGCTGTGAGCAAACAAACCCTTTTTAATTTCACATTTTCTGTTGAACCATGCTATTAACCTTTAAGGTCTTAGAGGTTTTTCAGATTTTTTGTGTGAAACAGACAATAGGTTGCCTTCTAAAATATCATGAAAGATAGAGGTGAACTAAAACCAACAATAGAAATAAATACAAGAACATTTAGGGAAATATTTGTGGGAAGCCAAGTTGCTGTATAGAAAGAGTCCTGGATTCAGGAGCTGAAGGGTTAAAGTAGCATTTGCTTAGGGTTAGGATTAGGGGTCCACTGTGGTGATTATTGCAAATGGCTGAATTAACAACCTTTACTGATAAAGACAGTGGAATGTAAATGTGAAATGTGTGACTTGTGTCTGAAATTATACTATTCATTTATTTAGATTCAGCAAAGTATCTAAAAGGGAGAGTGAATGGATGGGTTGGGGTCTCTGATGCGGCAGTGCGGCGTCTCGCTTTTGCCATCACCGTGTAGAGAGAATGAAATATATCTGAACTCTGAACATTTTAAAGTGCTTTCTTTGGGTGACATTGGTCTGCAAAATGTGCTATATAATTAAACATTACATACTTACTTATAAGTATCGTTTCTGCTCACTCACTGGAGTTTGTCACGCTCACCTTTGATCACTGAATAATGATACAAAGTAAATGACTAATCGAAAGGCTCATCCTCACGCAATGTACTTACCCAATTTCAATTTGGGCGTAATATGTTTCATGTTCTTTACCACTTCAAAGTGAAAGCAGAGTTGACATCACTCACTGTGGCTTTCTATATTTTCACATCACACAGAAGTCATTTCATTTCCTTTTGCCAATGTTATTAATCCACATTATGTTAAAGTAACCTGTAATTCTACAGAATGATTGACTTGTACTTGTGACGTCTTTTAGCACACAGAGGAATTTGTAAACAACTTGCAAACACAGTTGGAGCAAACTCGTTTGCACGAGGCTGAACTCCTGGGGGCACTGAAAGAGATGCAGGACAAGATCCTGGACCTGGAGAAGGTAACGTTACATCACAAGACAGTGTGTGCATGTATCAATGTTATGACTGACTTAAGACTATTAGTAATTGTACTAATGGTGATAAGGGATTGTGTTTAGGGACTATGCTGCTTACAGTGTGAAAAGTTTAATGCTACTTATGTATATTGCTTAATGCCATTTTAATTATAACCTAATAGCTAAGGTCAAAATTAAACAACATACATTAAAAAATGTTTCATGTTTTATTTCTCTTTTTCATGTGTCATGCTAAAGGTATAAGAGGATGTTCCCAAATTTTAGGAAAGAGCCGCCCTCTCCTGAGGGAACATCTACTAAAACGTATCACCAGAATGATTGACAATTAGGAGGACCAGTAGTCTAGATGATCCACCCAGAAGAAGAAAATCCTCCTATATATATTTAAATTGTACACTGCAGACCTTGGTGCATCTGTCTTTTTTACAGCCAAATAATTGGTTGCCTTTAACTATTTTTCCCTGAGATCTGGCTAAAGATGAGTTTGACTGTCTTGATCTGTTTGTGCAGAGGAACAACTGTTTGCCTGATGAGAACAATGTGGCGGCTCTGCAGGAGGAGCTGAAGCAGATGAAGCTCAGAGAGTTGGAAACTCTGAGTTCATTCAGAGAAATGCAGGACACAGTCACTGACCTGAACCAGCGCTGGCAGGTGACAGAACACAGAAACAACTAGAGATATAGCTCTATCTATACAAATATAACTGGTACAGACCAGTGTTTCCTCTGGGATCTTATGTCCTACATGTGCTCCACAGCACCACATGTCCCGCGGGAGCAGCCACTGGAAGGAGTCTCCAAAGAAGAACGCCATGAACGAGCTTCAGGACAAACTGATGACCGTGCGTCTGAGAGAAGCTCAGGCTCAGGCCGAGCTGCGAGAAGTCAAACTCAAGGTGTTGCAGCTGGAGAGCCAGGTCAGATGCTCACTTTGATTTCATATGTTTGTCATGTGTTGTAAAGGGCTGTTGTCTTGCAGACTCAGATCCATGGCAAACAGATCGGCCGTCACGAGCAGGAGCGCTCGGCCCTCCAGGACCGGCTCCAGATGGCATCAAACCAGAGCAAAGCTCTGCAGACTCAGCTCAGCGAGATGAAGAGGAAACAGGCTGAACTGGACTGCAAGGTCTGGGTCCAATCATGAAAGAAAACATTCTGTGTAATGAGTGAGATCTGAATGTTTTTGTCCAATAAATCCTCAGAGTAAAGAGGAAGTGATGGCCGTGAGGCTGAGAGAAGCGGACAGCATGGCTGCGATGGCTGAGCTCAGGCAGAAGATATCAGAACTGGAGATACAGGTGCTGTTGGCAGGCTTCATTTGGAACACAGTATTTATTCAACATACTCTTAACTTTGTTTTCTTTTCGCAGAAAGAAGAAGGTCTGATTCAGGGTCAGCTCAACCACTCTGACTCCAGACAGTACATTAACCAGCTTCGAGACCAGATCTCAGAACTTAAAAATGAGGTTTGACGTAAAATAACTTTTGACTATACATCATGATACATAGATTCGGGTTTGGCAATTGCTATCCTTTTTTATCAAGTTCTCTTTTGCTGAAGCTGGATACACACGCACGCACGCACACACACACACACACATACACCCACACACACACACACACACACACACACACACACACACACACACACACACACACACACACACACACACACACACACACATTTACATTACAATTATTATGAGTCTTATTATTATTAACAGAAGCTTTTATTTCAGATAAATGTGCAAAGACTACTCTTACTATTTATGTTGAAGTTAAAATCCCTAAATATCAGGAAGCACTGACCTACTTCAAATATGTATTTTCTTTTTTCTTTTTTTTTAGACAGTGCTGTGTGTGACTATAAAAACCTAATTGAACCACGTGAGAACATTTTCTGCACCGCTTTCCGGTTCACTTTTAGCTTGCATGTCCGGGCTGATAAATTTGCCTGCATGTTACGTGCGTACAGATGTGAAGGCAGAAACTCTTATCAACAAATCACAGTGAGCTGCGTCTCTCGCTCCATCAGCTCAAAGGTCTGCTGTGGTGAAGCCGTCGCCAGACACAAATCTGCGTATTCTAACATTTGTGCAGAGGGGGGGTCAGAGCATTTCCACTGCTGAACCACAAACATCATTTCGAGTCAGTGTGTGAGAAGAAGGGAAACTAAAACCTCTGAGATTTGTCACTAGTGTTTGTGGTGTGTTAAAGAAAACTGGAGGCAGATGCAGCGCCACTTGTGATTATTGTGGCCTACAAAATCAAAACGCTCCACACACCAGCAGCCCTTTGTGCGCTTTTTTTTTTAAGTTTCAAATCATCTGTCTGTTAATGTAATAACTACCTATTAAAACTGATTTTAAACTGGGATTTTCCTTCTCCATTGTAGATGTAGCAATATGTAATTTATCACAAACAAAATTACTCTATAGAACTATGTTACCCATCACAATTTGTTTTTATAGTGGCAGGGCTGTGCTTAAAGATGGGGGAGAGCTGATTATTAAACCACAAAAGATGGAACTACATATTTATAACTGCCAATTACCAAACAAATTTCATCACACATTTTTTTTGGCCTCTAGCAAAAAAAATTTATCAGACAGAAAAGTGAAGCAGAGATTGTCACCTAAATTCAAATGTATAAAGGTCGACAAAAAACACAATAAAGACAGTATGTTGTGGTCCTATTGCTTTAAATGTGTTCCCTTTCTGTTGGGATAAACAAAATGCAGGACTTTTGAAAAACAATATGTCACTGTAATCCACAGATTCGAATATTGCGCGGGCACAAGGCGTCCACCGGCTCTCGCATCAGCAGCGGCAGCGTGACCACCAACTACCAGGACCTGACCAGCCCCACGTCCGCTGAGGGGGACTATCTGAGCTCAGACGATGACCTCCTGCCCAGCCCCCTGCCCCCGAGCGCCCTGTTCCCCTCAGCCGCCCTGGACAGCGAGGGCAGCACGGACAGCGAGGTGGAGGAGCGCGCGCAGCCGAACCAACAGCAGATCTATGGCAGCATGGTGTGTGCAGAGGCCATGGAAGGAGTCAACTAGGACTATGCCCCCAACTGCTTGACTGCATCCCAATTCTTAGAAAGTACCCTCCTTCTCCTTCCTTCTCCGTCACACCTGTGGTTCTCAACTGGAACAGTATCAGGACAATCATAAGTGAATTAGTTTTTGGCTTCTAATTGACCTTAATACAAGATATTTGAAAAATGGTAGATACTTTCCAATTTGTGGATACAATTCTTGTGTATCGATAGCTCTCAAATGGGTAACACAAAACATTCAATTTCAGTTATTTGTTCTAATCTACTGACATTAAGCACTTGTAATTGATTGAAATCAAGTTTTTAAGGCAACCCTTGGATTTTTGAGTTGAAGGGCCTTTTGCAATTTATGAATATATATCAAATGTTTTATAAGCATGACGAACAAAATAACTCCCAACAGACTCGAGAATCAAGAAAACCCATGGGAACAAATGTAAATGTGCATTTGGGGAAAGTTTCAAATGTAAATAGTTTTTATTTGACATAAACATGTTAATTCTATCTAGATTACTTTCTTTCGCAGCACATTATACATATTTTTTTCTAAAGATCTGGCCAGAAAAGCCTTGTGACTCGCTCAAAATGGTCCTGCAATCCACTTTTGGTCCTTGATCCATCAGTTGAGAACCACTGCTTAACCTTGTGGCATTAAATCTTGCCCTAGTGGCATTACATAAGTCTTTAAATGGTCGTTTACCTGACCAAAGCTGGAGCCACCTGTTTTAAAAGAGGTACATTTTGAAGGATGAGGAAGGATTGACTTTTGGGATTTGGAGGACGCCGTAGACTACAGCAGCTGTTGGATAATTAGAACTGTGTGTGCGCCAAGAGCCACAAGCCATGATATTACATTTCTGTCTTTGCCATCGTCCACCTGAAATTACTCTAAAATATATCCAACGTAGCTGCTGATCATTGCATTTCATCAAACTTGTGACCTAAATCTGTGACGGTTATGAGGAGATTAATTTCCACAAAGACGCGAAGGAACTTTGGAAAACTTCAACCCATCGGACTATTTTTGAACGTTCATTCTTCATCACTGCCTTCAGAAAAAAAAGAAAAAAATATATCTACAAAACTTAAAAACTACTCTTGTCGCAACGTCCAACAGCGCCATTTCATCATGAACAAAGGACAAAACTGAAATGACGTTTTGAGAGAAACCACCTTTTATTATACAAGGACTAAAAGAAAATGCAAACTGTTGCCAAAATAGCGGGTTGTGGTTTTATTTATATGTTGTAATTTATTTTGATATGTTTATTATTAATTTGTACAGGATTACAGCGGTGAATTTAATTTTGTATTAATTTCACATTTTTGTTCGTGCCAACATACGCCCTGTTTACTGGGCCACAGTGGAGACGGGAGACATGCTGCTATTGTTTTAATATCAACACATCTCGTTTACAGCTAATTTTAAAGTCTTAAAAATACTGGGAAATGATTCAAACTTTAACAGTGAGTTTAATACAGAACATGTTAATTTACATAATGTACATTTAAAGGTTTATTCTAAGAGAAAGATAATGGATAACATCTGTTTAATATGAATAATCTTTTACGTGTTTTAAAATCACGCAGGTTATGATATTCTGTCAAATCCGTGGGTAAACGTTACACACAAAGCAAGAGAGTCAGCTGCCATGACGTGTGGCTCGAATGATAACCACATATCAACCAGTATATTATCATTTTAAAACAAAGTCAAACATTTTAATATTTATATATGGCCTATGTTGTGACTGGGCTGAGATGTAATAATAATAATCTATGACACTGTTGCTGAAGATGGTGTTATCCAACTAACAGGGTGTAGTTCTGTTTGCACTACAGAGATGGCAGGAGTCTAAATAGTGTTGTTCTTATTCATATCCTAACAGCGTGTGTGAAAGAGGAGATCAAAAGGGGAAGAAACTGGAGCTGTGTTTTCCAGAAGTGACCCTGAGTGAGTGAAACAGGATGTCAGGTTGGGCCATGTTCTGTCGCAAATAACAACTTTTCATGGGTTGGGGTTAGGGTTAGGGAAATCTCAGCTCACAGGAGTGCATCTTTGTTGTGTTCAGGTACATGCAGACCCTACAGTATGTGTGAGAAAATGCATACGTTTGGGGGGGTAAATTTGACACTGCTGTTCAGTTATGGTGCTCTATTCCCTCCACTGTAAGTGCATTAAACGCTACTGTTACATGTGCCATAGAATTAGGGTTTGACAGTGTTCTGAGGGTCACGACAGCAGAGGCACAAAGTCCCTCAAACCGAAATAATCCGATCATTGTTTTATGTTGAACTTTCTCTCGTGAAGCTGATGTTGTCAAATCAAGTATAATAAATGACATGAATAATATTATTCCAGTATGGTAGGGGAACTACATTTCAGTGTTCTGTATCCTATGAAAGGAACAAAATAAACTTTGCATTGCACCTTTGCAAACATCTGACTGTGTGTGACTTCTGCTGCCAACATTTAGTGACTCGTTTCTGGCCAAGAATTACATTGAAACTGTCCTTTGAATACAGCTTACTGATCTTAAAACTGTAATGCAGTCAAGTTTGGAGTCAAAATGTAATGTGTTGCATAAACATTTTATTTTCAAAACTACTAAAACTGCCAACCTTTTATTATCTTTGTAAAGATTCCATAATTCTGAATAAAATAGAAAGGAATAGAAAAATAGAAAATAGAAATTAGAATCCTTTTTGGTGCACAAGGATTCTCTGGAAGCAGCTGAGGCTCTGTAGTTTTGCCCTCTAATGACTAATTCACTCTAAATACATGTTGGAACAGTCTGCATGGAAAAAGACCAAACTTCAAGGCACTTTCCATGATAAACAAAATAATACAGCTGGATCTATTTGACTTAAATAACCACATTTTTGGTTTCAACAACTTCTCTTACACAGCTGAGACAAATGTTTGGTGACCAGTGATAAAGCAAATGGCTCCAAGTAATCCCATGTAAAATCCATGTTGGCTTTAGAAAAATATTTTCAGTGAGATATTGTGAGTGTGAGAGTTTATATGGACCAGTTTAATCCCAGAATGTTTGATTTGACTCTATACAAGAGGTAATTCTTTATTTTCACACCTTTCCCTTTTCAAGAGTTGGATTATTATATTCCTGGCAAAAAAATATATACAGTATATACATATTATATATTTTTTTCAAATCCAGTATTACCTGCAGGCACAACAGTGCAGTGATGGGTGTATTGGTTCTTTTATTCATGTCGGATAAGTTTAGTTTTTATGATTTTACAGAGCATGAGCTTTCATAAAGAAGCAATTTCTCAGCCTTTATATTACATTTTGTTTTTGTGGGTTTACAGGGCAAAATGGCATATTCACTCATGTCGTGCGACAGTTGTGTGTCTTGCAGTCTACGGTGATTTCAGAAGATTGTGGGGGTTTTGTCTCTGTCAGAGTCTTTTGTCACCCCTCCCGTGTCGACACAGAGGGGTTTTTAACACAGTCTGTCTGCTGTTGGCCTAGACCGTGTGAGAGTGCAGCTCTTTGAACAGAGCATAGGGTAGAGTGAGGAAACTGTGTGGTCAGAGTCTATGTGTCGCACACTTCCTCCACAGTAACACATCCACCAGCGGGACACACACGGCAGGTGAGAAGCCCCGATCACTCGGGTTCCTACAAAGGTAATTTTTCAAATGTAGAACTTTTTTTTTTTTCGGGACTACCAAAAGAAAAGGTAAAATATCTTATGCATCAAATATTTTCCTATTATACAGTTACTCATAACCCAAAATCCTGTTACATGTTTTCTGATGCTTCCCAAGACATGGAGTGTTCTATAAGTAACATTTTTTCTATACTGCGTGTACTGAATTGTAAACTTCACATTCAAGGATATATGCAAGAGTGTTTTTGTTTTCTTTTTCTATTATAACAATTACAAAAACAAGAAATGGTGCAAAAATAGTTGTTTTAATCCAACGCAACATTTTACACAATGTCAAAAAAACGAGCATCAAACAATTCCGAGAAGTCAGTGCTCTGTTTGGACCATGTAATGAAATATATTTAAAAGTAGGTAATCAAGATTCTTTAATTTAACACATTTTCAAGATATTCTTCCCAACACAGCAAACCTTTAACTGTCACAAGTCAAACACTAATCACTTAATATGTCAGAAATATCGATTACAGTTTTCAGATTTTAACATTTTCTGCATTTTAAAGTTATCAATATATTTTCTATCATGTTCTGTCTATTCTAATGCACATACATTCACTGCGAAATCAAAGCATGTATGGACCGTTCATCGTGAGACTTGAGGGCCCCCTGGTGTCCACACAGAAAATCGTAACTAAATACATCAAGTCTCTGATGAGGTGTGATGTTTTGGTGATGAGGAGCTAGGGTACCTAACATGTAATAAATTAAAGAAATTGTGTAAGTAAAATTTAACAAATCAGACCACAGAATGCTGGCTTCATCTTTGTAGAAAACATGTTGTATTTTGGATAATTTTAAAAAGATTCCTGAGAGTCATTATTTGATTTTGGGTTGAGAGCTGATTGAAGGCTGAGTGAAGGGTGGTCCTGATTTTTTCTGAAAATCTATCTAAATATGTGACAGAGGCTAAAACAAACATACAGGTGAAAACTAGAATCTAACTGTATTGAGAGAAAGAAACAGATTGATTTTGCTACTTAGTTTAATATTTTATTTTTATTTTGCTTCAATATGTGTCAAAAGGTAAGACAAATGTTTCAGCTGAGATGGTTTTTGCTCCAGCAGCACGATGCCACGGTCGTTCCTGGTGAAGAGAGGCGGCGTGCAGACAGCCCCAGTCTGGCAAACAGCTGCAGACAGAGTGGACCCTGATAACACAGAGTCCGTCACAATAACATCACAGCAGCGCTTTAAACCTGAACAGACCTCAAGCAAAACTCTGAAAACACCAGAGCATGTGTCACAGTGTCAAGGTAAACATGGTGATTAGCACAATATTGTTTCATTGGGGTATGCTGGGTAATAATGATAATAATAATGGATAATAATGAAAACTAGGAAATTGCTTTGGCTCTCGGTGCAAACAAGTTAAAGCAGAATAAAAACAACACAATCAATCTATCTATATATTTTAATTAGACCTATAGGATAGAAAGTTTATTTCACTGTTTTTGCAAGGACAATTGACTGTTTTTTTAGGCGAGCTTGCATCTCCACAGACATAACACGTACTTCTGCTCATATTCCCCGCTGCTAAAGTACTATATACACATCTGTCAATACTTCTGAACCAATTATAGCTTCAGAGTTTAAGTCTACTGTCCATTTTCTTCAGCTTTTCGACCTGACTTTTTGTTAATAAAACAAAACATATTGTATATGGGCTTATTGTTTATTTGTTTGATTGTTTTTTTTTCTATTCAGTTGTTTTGTTGCTGTTCCTTGTCCTTGTCAGACATGGCTCGAAATAAAAGCATTCATTCATTCATTCATTATCTTCAATAACCTGTTTTATGTGTGCAATCTAAGTGCTCTTGTTTCCTTTTCTCTCTACTGTGCACAACAATGACACTGAAATTTCCCCACTGTGGGACGAATAATGGAATATCTTTTCTTACTTGACCTGGATGAGCAACTCCTCCTCTTCGACAGAGAAAGTTCTATAGTGATCATGTAACATTATTTGAGTACTGCTGTTTATAAATGTTTTTGTTTTTTTTCAGGCTGCAGGTTAAAGAATATATTCAGTTTGTTTGATTGTTTGTGCAGAGAGACTTCACAGTGGAATGGAGGAGATGAAAAGTCAAACTTACCACACATGCATCGCTGGATCGCAGAGCCCACTCTGTGATGAAGTAACGAAGGTGTGTATTTTGCGTCTAAATATACAGCATATAATATTGGTTACTGTTTGAGATATGTTTTTTTTCATTGAATTCTGAATTGTGCTAACAATGCATTTGTCGGTTTGTAAATATTTCTCATGCAGTTGACCCCTAACCCTTAAGAGTATATATTAAATACATGTTGGCAGGGTATGCGTTCTCCAAGTGCACTTGTGTTTTTTGATTGGCTTGTTTTATTGCTGCAGAAACATTCTTGTAATTCCACTGTGGGAGTTCACGTGTTCAAGACTCCCCCAAAAAGAACACTTCTGACTGAAATTAACTCCAGCCAATGTGAGAAAGAGAAGAGTACTTTTAGAAAAAAGGTAAGTTTGGTGGGATGCTCAATGCTCATACTCATTCAAAAACTACTTTCCAATTGGTTAAACCGGTTAAATGGTCAGAATGATGCAGGTTGTTTGGAAACACAAAATAGTACCTGTGTAATATTCACATCGACAAGTTGCATATGTGACTATTATGAGACTTATCCGTCAGATCTCAAAAGCAGGGTAAGGCCTGGTTAGTGTTGTGATGGGAGACCTCTGGGAACAACAAGTGCTGAACTGTTGTTGTGTCCTGAGGCAAGGCTTCCCCACATAGAATGGCCCTAGTGTGTGGGGAGATCGACCATTTTTGAGCTATGACTGAAACAGAAATGGTCATTGATCATTGTAATTGATAGATTGGTTGTTTAAACCAAAAGATTGGTCGGACAAATATCTACAAACTAGAATGTTTTTTTAAAATCTGTTATTAAGAGTGTAACTTTAATTGTAAGTAATTGTAGGTGTTCCTGTCGCCATAGGAGCGTTCGTTTGCATGTAGTGAGTGTGGGAAGGTGTTCAAGCGCTCGTCCACTCTGTCCACTCACCTCCTCATCCACTCGGACACACGGCCCTTCGCCTGTCACTACTGCAGCAAGAGGTTCCACCAGAAGTCCGACATGAAGAAGCACACTTTCATACACACCGGTGAGGGATTTCATCAAATATATAGAAGGAGAATTGTTACAAAGTATAAAGTTGTGTTCATGTTCTAGAATTCTATTCCACTTGGAGGAAAGGTGCCTAACTCTGAAAAAGCTATGAATCTTTTTTTAAATTATTGTTGGACAAAAAGTGTGCTGTTTTTTCACCTGCCCTCCTCTACAATTATACTGTGTTGTGATGTCACATGAAAGTTTAGGTGCCTCAATGGGGTCACTGCAACATATGTTTTGGCATTGGGACCTTCAGTTGAAAGACAAGTTGCAAAATGTATATATCCATCCATCCATCCACCCTCAATCCATTTCTGGGATGGGGGGTTGGCAGTCAGAGCTGCACCCAGTACACTTAGCACCAGCCCCTCACTGATCCTCCTGCAGGTGGTGAGTCCACAGGAGCCTTGATTATTCAGTGGGGGCTTCAGGCAAAGTGGGGTTAAGTGTCTTGTCCAAGGACACAACGACAGCACATATCAGTGGGAGTCATTAACTGTATATATTTCTAAAGTGCTATGCCATAAGCTGATATGCCATAAAGGAAGTCATTCGTAGTAAGCAAACAATAATAATAATAATAATACATTTTATTTAAAAGCGCCTTTCAAAACACCCAAGGACACTGTACAGGCATAATAAAAACATTTAAAAACAGGATAAACAGAATAAAACAGTAGTCAGGTGCAATATGGGATGGTGTGTGTGTGTGTGTGAGTTAGGAGGGTGTGTGTGTGCGTGTGTGTTAGGTGTGTGTGTGTGTGTGTGTGTGTGTGCGCGCGTGTGTGTGTTAGGTGGGGTAGGACAGTCTGAACAGATGGGTTTTGAGTCGGGATTTGAAGAGTGGAAGAGAGTCAATGGTACGGAGGTCAGGGGGGAGAGAGTTCCAGAGCTGGGGGGCAGAGTGGCTGAAGGCTCTGTGTCCCACAGTGATGAGTCTGGCTGGGGGGACGGAGAGTGTGAGGGTGGAGGAGGAGCACCTATGGTTTGTTTGACATGCACAATTTTGAAGAAAAAATATGGCACTTTTATTTTATAACTGTACAATGAGGATTTTTTCTTGTACATGAATTGCGTTGTGCATTTTATACAAATTACAAAAAACTGAATAGTCTATAATTACATTATGTGTATAATAATGTGGTTTGCAGTTTGTATTGATTTCAATCTTTTTCAACTACATTTGTGAGTGCTGTGACGCTACTTTCCCCTGGGTTGCTTGGTGGGGGCAATGAAAATGCATCAGCTGTGTACTTTCACTTTAGTTTACAGTACTTTATACCAGATGGTGAAACTCACTGACCACTACTGACTTTATTTTTTTTTACTGTTCCAGGAGAGAAGCCACACTCATGTCAGATTTGTGGAAAGAGCTTCAGTCAGAGCTCCAACCTCATCACCCACAGCCGAAAGCACCGGGAGAGGAGACCCTTCCACTGCCCCCTCTGCCAACATGGCTTCACCCACAAACTGGACCTGCGCCGACACCAGGATTATTACTGCGCCCAAACGTGACCCCTTCGACATCCACCAATCATAATGCACTCATCAGACAACATGGCACACAGACATTCTCACTTATTTTCTTTTTTTCTCTTTTATTCAGTCGTTAAAGGGAATTGTTAAGTGCCTGGAATCAACAAAGTATCTACTTAAAAAAGATTGGCACTGTAGAACTGAGCCCTGGCCACAACATCATTGGAGTAGTCTTTGCCTGTTGTGTTGGCATCCACATTCTCATAACTGTGGACATTCCCGTCTCCCATGTTGTACGCAGCAATTCCTCCTGTGGACACAAGATTTGGAACAAGAACATTACCAATTTGCTTTTATTCATAACATGTGATTTCAAGCGGGGAGTTCTAAATGCTGCAATAATGTAATGCCTGATAAGTTTAACACACCTTTTAACCGTTGGGCTTGATTCCAGCTCCCAAATTTTTTGCCAATCAGGCCGATGAAACCCACCAGGATTTCTGTGCCCTGCTGCAGGTGCGCCTTGCTGTCAAAGCTTCCCCGAGGTGTATGTCTACCTCCATTTGGAGTCACATCAACCTGAAAGAAATTGTAGCACAACAAAATAATATATTTGGCCTATTTGCCTAACCTAATATGCAACAGCATATATTGGGTTATCCCTGTATGTGGGAATAAATAAATAACAATACAAGTTATGTAGTATGCTTGAATGTTCCTACACAAAACAGTCAGAAAAAACGCTTCACCTGCATCAGTCCCCAGGCTTTGCCGTAGTCTCCCCAGCCATTATTCAAAGCATTTCCAGCGCGTGATTCTCTGGAGATGATCCCTGCGATGAGCGCTGGGTCCACGTTGTATTCATTTCCAACATCCACGATCCTGTCTTTATACCTCCTCATTCTCTCCAAGTCTGTCCTCGCCATTTGGTGAGAGGCTCTCACCCCTACAACACATAAAGCAAGAGTTTCTGGATAAGATAAATATAAGCACGCATACACACACAAATGCACGCATACTCACACACGTACACGTATATACACACACACACATACAATAGCATATACAGTATACACAGACATGTATATACACACACACACACACACACACATATATATACGTATACACACCCACCTGCATATGGTAGATTGTCTTGATTGGCTGTTTGTTGCGATGCACCTTTGGCATCTCGAATTATATTGATGTCTGTGAACGTAAGCACACGTCAATACTTCCTTTGATGGAACGTGCTGTACAACAGTCTTCAAATACTATTTTTAAGTTATCTTTACTTTGCATGGATACTTTTGACTTTAATTTTCCCATTTACATGAGTACTGCTTTCTCTTATACTTTTGAGTCCACTATTTTGATCCAGATTCCATTTTGGGGTAAGTTTTGGCACTTTCATGGTGACACCAGCGGGTAAATTATGAGCTGCAGGTTTGATTTGAGAAAACTAAAAATACAGTACCATAAACACACATTTTAATCACAAAACATATCAATACCAGTACACTTTTGCATGACTATGTAGTGCTTCTAAGATCACAATATCTCATTTAGAAATAAATCACAGAGTCCTGTCTTCATCGTGTAAGAAGTCATGTGAGTCCAAAAATGCCGTTTTGGGTTTGTTTATCATTTCTGTCTAAAACTGCTGCTGCGGCTGCTTCTTCCACCACTATTTCACAAAAACTGCTTATTATGGACATGTGGAAAATGATTTGGACTCACCCATGGTCTTCTTTTAAGGGTTCTGGATTCAAACCCGATGAAGTCTTCAGTCCTCTGCTCCTTGACTGAGGCACAGCCAAGCCCCGGCGATCCAAGATGGCGCCCTATTCAAATGAATGGTTGCGCTCAGTGGCGCTTTGTGACGGCATGGCAAGCCCCGGCGATTCAAGATGGCGCCCTATTCAAATGAATGGTTGTGCTCAGTGGCGCTTTGTGACGGCACGGTCGCTGACATATTGGCGGAAGTTGCCTGAAACTCGCAAAGCTCTATGGGAAAATCGCCTGTATTTGGGCATCCTCTGGTCCTCCCGGTTATGCGCAGTGGATGACCTCCCATAATGCTTTGTGCCTCGAACGACGAGAACGCGGACCTCAAGCGGGAGCGTGCAGCACCACAGACCCGTGAACGCGCATGAATCGAGCGAATTAAGTTCTATCACTGTTTAAGTAAAGATTGATATTAAAATATATGTACAATTGATCAATTATTTTAATATGGTGTAGAGCAGTATGACAGAGCCTTCTTGTTGTTGATTCTTAATCATTATCTACTAAGTATTTATGATAAGCTAAATGTACAATGATTATATACTTTTTCGTAACGCTTATACTGTGGCATTCACCTGTAGGCCGCCGTGTTTTAAGCAAAATGTCAGTGATGTGTTAACAAGTACTGCAAGATAATTAAGACCATTGTGGATAGATCAAAAAGCTATGATTTAGTCTTTTGTCCTCGTGAATTGTAATTATTATATTAACGTAATTAATAAGTATTATTCTCTATATACACACACACATTATGTATGTATATATATATATATGTGTGTGTGTGTTTTCCATGAAAAGTCACACTTGTTCACCACCACACGTTGTGAAATGAATAGAAAATAGAGTCAAGACATTGACAACGTTAGAAATAATGATTTGTATTAGAAATAAGATTTGTTTTACATCCAACTTTGCTTTTGTCAAAGAATCCTCCATTTGCAGCAATTACAACATTGCACCAAAAACCAGACATTTGCAGCTAGAACAGCAGTCATTTACCACATAAGCAGTGTATAGAGTGTATTTCTTTACAGTTAAGACTAGTTTAAAGTTATCTACAGCTTTTCCTTCAACATTGAGGACATTTCAATGTGACCCCAAACTTTTGAACGGTAGAGTATATATTCAGGACTCCCTTGAAAAAGGGGTTCTTTATCTCAATGGGACTTTTCTGGTTAAATAAAACAAAACTAGTTAAGCCACGTATTTGTTTCAGCTGTCTATAATAGGATATTCAAGTATGTATATCTATTTCATTTGCTTAACTCTGGAAATTATGTTACTGTGTATTTATTTATAAGTTATCATATTTATACTTTCAAATTAAATTATAAAAAACAAGTTGCATTTGTTGTGATTTTTAATCTACAAAAAAAATGAAAAGCAGTGATTCTATTAAAAATGGCTATATACAAAACACGTAGAACATAATAACAACAGGGATAACCAAAAAAAAAAAAAAAGATGAAGGTAAAAATATGTGTCATTCACGCACACATTCACCAATCATTCTAAGTGATCCTACCACAAAGGATGAGGCCCTGACTATTTTAAAACTCAAATACACTAACAGAAAAAATGCACTGTCACTGTGTTTAAAACAAATAGTTTAGACACAGTGACAGTGATTTTTCAATGCTGTGGCTAAATTGTTTAAGAAAATGTCATTCCCCATATTTGAGAAATGAACTCCGTCCCTAATAAATAGACCAGGGCAGTCAAACTTTATGGTAGGATGACAGACCATGCATCCGCCAAGGCCACTCACAAACGTTTTTTAAAACATTATTAATAAAGCGTTTTGCACGATTGATCCGCCCCGGCTGGGCGTCCCTCCACAGGCGGCGATCGGTCAGTTGCGAAAAAAAAATGTCCATCGATGGATACCGCCTATGGAGGTCCAGAAGGTCCCGCTTCATCGCTGCGACCAAGTCCACGCTCTTCACCTTCCCGAGGTCGTTGCTGCCGCAGCAGATGAGCAGGACAGCCGGGGCGGACCGTCCCCGTAGCAAGCGAAAAAGCCACGGCACCAGGCTGCTCCAGCGGAGTCCTCCGCGGCCAAACCACTGGACGTGGGCCGCCATCCCTAAATTGTGACCAAGGGTCTCGGCTGCCCGGTCGCGACCACGCCGTACGTAACTGTCCCCAATAATCCATATGGTGGGTCCTATTCAAATACACATTAAATTGTGTTCGTTGATAACATTCAATCGGACAATATCAGCATTTTACCTTCAACAATGTGCACAGATGGCATCTGGCTGGTTCGCTGCTGCTGCCCATTCATTGTAACTTGATACTGACAAAATAAATGCATGATTACAAAACGCTTTTGCATAAATGAAATACGAATAATTATTCACACTTACCTAGCCCGTTGCCTTGCGTTGACCGTGGTAAAGTCATCCATGGGTAAAGTGCGTTCAAAATTGAGTGATCAGAGTTTTAATAGTGGGGGAGGAGTTTGTACAAAATGTATCAAAACACCTGTAATGGTCTTAGCGGCACTATAAATACTTCACAAACTTTCCCACGGGCCCTTTTGCCTTGTTTGACGGTGACCCGAGTGAACGACGCAAAAATGCCTTCGTGTTCTGCTTTCAACTGCACCAATGGATCTCGTAGTGCGAAGCATCAATTCCAACTTTTCAGGTAAATTAAAATGTAAATTCATTTTTGGTTTAATTAAACGAGCAATATAATAAGCAGCGCGGGGATCTGTTAGCTATGCTAATACCCCTTCATACATCCACTGCGTTCCGTCATGTATTTTATAACTTGTAACTTCAACCTGGTTAAAAAAGACAATAATATATATATTGTATGTCATGATCAATAAGCAGAGTACTAGCCTGCTAGCTTAGCCTCCTGCTAATATTAATTGGACTAGCTAGATGTCGTCTGAACAACCCATGGATCTATTATATTAACAACCGTTTTACTTTTATTCCTTTCTTGTGTTAAGTTGGACATTTATGGTACACAGTAGTTGAGACAGTACATTTGTAGAACTTGTAAATTGCACGTTTGAAGGAATTAGCTGCCACATGGTTTACCTACTTATTATAACTCTTATGCATTACCCATGGATCCATTACAATGTCGTTATTACCCTGTAAACTTTGCACTATATTTATAGATTGATCTGAAATAAAGATATTGGAGCATTTACAGCTAGCTAAGAAACATTGCAGCTACTAATTTAGTACATATTGTGTGCTCTTATTAGTGTCCTGTATGTGCGCTTCAACTTTGAATTTTCCCCAATGTGGGACTAATAAAGGATCTCTTATCTTGTCTTTTTCGGCGAAGAGGATAAAATGATGGTAAAAAGCACATTAAATGTATGATTGGAGCTGCAATTTCTCCTTCTTTTAGTTAAAAAAATACTGAAAATCATCTTATTTCTGTTACATAAAATGCACACATAGTCAATATGCAATTAGTTAATGTGATCATTAACATATATAAGATCAAGAAAAAAAAAAAATTGTTTTCTGCTCTGTCTTCCAGATTTCCTCTGAATGAAAAGAAGAGACTGGCACAATGGGTTGCAAAAGTGAGGCGTAAGAACTGGGTGCCAAGTTCAAACTCCAGGCTGTGTGCTGCTCACTTTGCTGAGGAATGCTTTTTGGTCAAAGGTGGTAAGCAGTCCCTTACTCCATTAGCTATTCCTACTATATTTGACTATTCCCTCAAAGGTCAGTTTGTATCAGCTCAGAAATCACCCACCATTGCCTTTGCTGCACTCATTACAGGTAAGGATCACACATATGCAAGTAAATTTGAGAAGTTCTGAGTTACACCATGGGCAAGAATCTTTTTCCTGGGCTGCACAGTCACATGTTTGACACCACTGTTGAAGAAAATCACATGCATCTTTTGGTGAAAATGGCAACTTCTGTGTACTGCAACATTCGGCTACATCATTTGGCTAAAAGGCAAACAGAGAAAATTACTACTGAAATAGTTAGACACAAATTAACAAAGTTGATTCATTTTCATCACCAGTAATGTATGAATTGTCCACCCATTACAAAAGGTTATGTCCACTGTTTTTATGGGATTAACTTGGAGCTTGCATAAACGAAGCACAAGTTTGATGTAGCAGTGATCATTTCATTTTTCATTTCCACTTTGTGAACCAGCAGTGTATTTCTTTGCAATGTTTCATTGTGACTGTACAGTTGCTTTCACAGACAGATAGAGCGAGCATGAACGGAGCACATGTTAAAAGCGCAGATTAGCATAGATAAAATAAATGCCAACGGATTGGGGTTAAGTTGTGGCTCAAACATTTAGGAAATAAAATAGCTGAAAAACTTGGAGCTTGCATCAACGAAGCACAAGTTTGAAAGTGACATTAGTTGACAGACACTCAAAACACAACGCACGCAACACTTTTCAATTACTTTTCTGTTGTTTGGGTTCATGTTTGGAAGTTTTCATGTTTAATATGTCATTTTAAACCTTTGTTATTTTGTTGTTCATTCCATTTCAATGCCATTTAAAAAAAAACCCAAAAAAACAAAAAAAAAAGGTTCATTAGTTGTCTTCATTTTCAGAACTTTGCAATTCATTTTCTCTGTTGTTTTGTTTCATTGTAAAAAAGCAGTTTGATTTGTTGTTCATTATCTCTTTCTATGTAATTTATATTAAACAAAAGAATGCATTGTTCATTAGTTGACATTATGTACTTCATTTTCACTTATTTTTTAAGGTTTGAATACTGTTTGAGCTAGAAATTAATAATTACAATCAGTTTTTATCTCAGCTGCCCAAGGACCCACTTTTCTGTGAAGGTAATGTCATTGTAGTATTCTCTCTAAGTCTTCCTGTTATCAGTAACTAGTTTGGCTTTCATTTGTAGTCAGTTCATCACGATTCACCCGTTGTCCCTGTTGTCCCGAGTGGGACATGTATTTTCAGAGAAGCACTGATGGTATCCTGAACACATGATTTTGAAGTCCTGGGCCTGTGCATCATCCTCACACCATCCTGGATGTGCCTAAATGTCTGCTTTACAGTAATGTATTTTACAGATTACTAACAAATTAAAACTAGCTGAAGTATCAAAACTCAAAAATCCATAATAACTTCTCTAATTTCAGAGAAGCAATGAAGTCATTCTCGACGTTTGGTTTCCAGCCTGGACTCATGGATCGCATCACCAGCCTGGACTCATGGACCGCAGGACCAGCCTGGACTCATGGATCGCATCACCAGCCTGGACTCATGGACCGCAGGACCAGCCTGGACTCATGGACCGCAGGACCAGCCTGGACTCATGGACCGCAGGACCAGCCTGGACTCATGGACCGCATCACCATTCTTTCTAATCCAGCTGAGCCAAGGTGGAGTACTTTGCAGATTACAGTTATTAGAGTAATTGATGAGCGGCCTGCAGAAGTATCTCACGATTTAATGCAATGTCTGATTTCAGAGAAGCACTGATCCTCAACACCTAATGTTCCGGCCTTGTGGACCAGATGCCTAGTCAAACCCCCTCCCACTTTTCCCTATGGACATCCAATTGAATCAATTGAAGAAGATGACAACGTCTGAGATTGTGTCTTTCATTCAGAAAGAAGACATGTTTTATTGTCAATGGTAGAGACAGCACGAACAAAGCACACAAACAAGGGATGTTACGGCAGCAAGTTGTGATATACTCAGGAGAAACAGAGACCTCCAATCCGCAGCTGCCACAGTGCCAGCAGAGATAGTCAAAACAAGTAGTGGAAAAGTACAGGCTTCTGCTCATTGATAGAATGATGAGTTTAACTTTAACAAAAGTTGCTTCAAAGTGTTATGAAATCTCACACAATGTACCTCTTTGTCAGCTCTTCCTCCAAAAAAGGGACTTGGACCGCATGCCGCTTTGTCAAGAGAATCTGTGTGGGAAAGTTCTCTGCTGTATCTTCTCAGGGGACTCTGTGTCCCTAGAGATGAATGACCTTTGAATATTAGTAATAATAATAATAGTAATGATTATTTGATTTATATTGCACCTTACATTTTCATGGAATCACAAGATACTAGTCAAATATTTGGTGATTATATATTGACATTTGTATTATCATTATTGGTAGAATTGTATATTGTTATGAGAGTTTGGATTCTGTGTCTGATTTGTGACACAGCAAGTAGAAGTTCATCTCCTTGACCTTGTAGAAAGTCAGCTATTATTCATGTTACATGTATAGTGTTTTGCTGTCTTACATTGGTAAAATTATCTATATTTATCTATGACCATTGTGCTAATGTAAACATTCCTAAGTAGAAGTCAAAAACTGTATATCATAAAGGAAGTTAAAACTTAAGTGCAGGATATAAACAGTAACACTTAAAAAAAAAGCTTAAGTTTCTATGTGTGGCATGTTTGTATGTCCTTAGCGCAGTTTAAACCAACTGTGAGGTCCCGACTGATGTATATGCCCACCGAAAATGTAGTGCTTCAGCAAAGAAAAACTTCCACTCAAATAAAATGGCCTTTAGTAGATAAGCAGTAATACACAACCAATCTGTGTCCTGAATACCTCCTATTCATTTAAACTGTTTTGCATATGCACTACAAAATGTAATAATTCTAGTATGGACATCTTTCTACTCTGTAGACACAAAAAATATAGTTATTCAACAAACTCTTGCTCCACAAAAACTAAAACCGTCATTTTTTTCACAGCAAATGAACTGTATTTAGAGCCATGCAAGAGTTATGTACAACACATTTTAAGAGAATGACAGACAATCTAACTTGAACATATAGAATAATATTATTGTCACCACATGAATGCTAGTGACTCCTACTTCTGTTATTTTGTTGTAAATAGAAACATTTATTCAATACATTTAAATATGTTTCGATTTTATGTAATTAAGATGAGATTTGTACATTTTTGATTTACAATGACCATGAGTAGAAAACTGAAGGGCGATCGAACTAAGCAACAAAATGTATTTATTTTAAATTACAATGTGAATCCTAATCTGCATTAGCACTTGCCACATGTATTACAGCAAAACATGAATGCATTTACTTAAAATGTGTGTGTCTGTGCTGCCTTTGACTGGCAGGGTTACAACATTCATGGTGAATACCTAAACTCTCTCGCCAGCTCTTGTGTAATCATCACGTTTGAGTTCGGTTTTGATATGGACGCTGTAAAGTCAATAGCTATGTTTATTGTACTCATATTGGTATAAATGACTGTCATACGAATTCACACGACTCCAAACGCTGTAGGAAAGACCATACATAGACTCTTAATGAAGCTAACAATAACCACAACAATGCTGTCAATGTACATTTCGTGTTTATCTGGTCAGTTCGGTTCAGTTTCCTCCCTCGCTCCTCTGTCATCAACAGAGCCGAAGGGAGCGCGTTCACGCGAGGAACGCACGCTCGTATGGTTCTCATGCACGCGAGCAGAGGGGCTTGGCAACGTCTTGACCAATCAGCGAGCTGCGGATGCTAGAGCGGCGGAAGAGCGGGAAAAAGAGAGCAGAGTTTGTTGCACTAAAGTGAAGATTAAAAGAAAACCTATTGATTTAAAAAGAAAAAAAGTTCAGGATGACAAGGGGCACTAAAATCCCCACAAAATCCGACCTTAATGAAAGCTGTAGGTTCTCTGTCAGCTGAGGTCGAGCTGTTTTAATTTGCATTGAGTTCTATGGGAAAAATTTCTGGGTGGCCCACGTGAATTTAGTCTGGTCTAGTCTGCAGTACCGCGAGAATCCCCTGAGCACATGGGTTATTCAGCTATAAGCTAGCAATACCCTATCCAGTTAATATAATACATCCATGCGGCATGGGGGCTGAAAAGATTAGCGGAAGTTGCCTGAAACTCGCAAAGATCTATGGGAAACTCGCCTGTATTTGGGCATCGTCTGGTCCTCCCGGTTCTGCGCAGTGGATGATCTCCCATAATGCGTTGCGCCAAACACGCGTGTGTGGGTCTCACACCGGGTTTCACGCACGTGCACAGAGGGGCTCGGCCGCGCTCTGACCAATCAGAGCAGTTCATCAGAGCGGGAGTTAGAGCGAGAGCCAGACGAGCAGAGTTTGTGGCACTAAAGTGTGGATTTAAACAAAACCGAAGGATTTAAGAAGAAAAAAAGTTCAGGATGACAAGGGACACTAAAATCCCCACAAAATCCGATCTTTATTAAAGCTGTAGGTTCTCTGTCAGCTGAGGTCGAGCTGTTTTAATTTGCATTGAGTTCTATGGGGAAAATCTCTGGGTAGCCCACGTGAATTTAGTCTGGTTCAGTCTGCAGTACCGCGAGAATCCCCTGAGCACATGAGTTATTCAGCTACAAGCTAGTAATACCCTATCCAGTTAATATAATACATCCATGGGCACAGCAGACCTTTTTATAAGATGTGTGCACACTTTCACTTTCACTTTCACTTTCAGTCTGACGCTTGAGACATCCAATGATTACTGTATTGTCAAATGTAATGTGTTGGATCTGTTACTGTGTGTTAGAGTTTCAGTTTCCTGCTATTGTCCAGCCTCAACAACAGCACTGAGGGACACGTGATTTCCGGCCATGAGCAAGGGGGAGTTTTAGGGGGATTTGCAAATAGGATTAGGAATGATTTGTCAAGAAATTATGTTTTTATGTTTTTAACTGTGTTCTGCTTGATGTCAATACAAATTAAAGTCTCATAATACAGTTAATGATAGAACTAGTCAAATGCATCACAAGTCTATATTCCCATACCTGTTTTTAGTGATATGGGGAACACAGAAGAGGAAACACAGAACAGGCTGTGAGGCAAGCTTGTTGCATTTTGTTCAATAAATCCAATCTAGATATACAGTACCTTTCTGTATCAGTAGGCGAGAGAGGGGAAAAATGTGCCAAAAGATTAGGAGTCCCACCCATTAGCTAGATAGAAAACCATTGTTGATCATGTGGCCACATTATTGTGGTGTATATGTGATATTGTCAAATTCTATGTTTGTTTTTTATTTTTTATTATTGTTTCAAAAAAAAGTGAATGTATTTATGTATAATATAGTGAATAAAGCTGCTTCAAAAATCCATGAGTGTAACATTTGGGAGAGGCCATTGCCACACAGTAACAGATCAAACACATCACTGCATTACATTTCACAACACAGTAAACAGACTGCTTGTTAATCATTGGACGTCTTCAAGGGCATCAGGACACAGTAAAAAACTTAACAAGCGAAATTTATCTTAAAGCAAAAATGCAAAAATATCCCTCAACATAACACAATTTGAATCCTTTACAACAGTCTCAGTCTTAAGTTAAACCAGGGCTTAAATCATGATTTAGCAATTCTACTGGTATTTCCTCCTGTAATAGTTATCTTCAAAAGTCGGACTTTGATGATTGAAAACTTTATGTGCACATTGAATGAGTAATTCTAATTTAACTGATCTTGCTGTATAGTATTTACTCCGGTGTATTTTCTATAATGACGCAACTTCCACACCGCGCCCCGAACCAGGAAGATGCTACAGTATCTACTGATACATTATGATTGACATTATGAGCACCTCTGGTCTTAAAGCTTCTGTCTCAGTCCTATAATGAGGATACTGCACTATTATCATGCTCAGAGGAGTGTCTTTTTAAAACAAAAGTATTGTCCATGAATTAGTTTTGGCAATTTCTCAAACAAAATTGTGTTATTTACAATCACATGGTTGTGTTTCATCTAGCATATTTTTTTTTCTTTGAAAAATTAATTATCAACTCCAGCCTCTGGTCGTAGCATTTGAAATCACATGCAGATATTACCCTTCTTACATGATTCACTTTACACTTACTGCAGATATTATTTCACATTCAAAACAAAGTAAATGACAAAGTATTCAATTTCATTATCACGTTTAATGGCCAAAAATAATACATAACATTTCGAGAGTAGTTTTACTTGGAAATGGAGAAACCCCAGAAATAACCCCTAATATACCCATATTACAGTATTATGTATGAATTAATTACAATAAATTTGAAATATCACAAATCCATTTTGTCCCCCATCATTGCCTAAAGTTGTCCCATTTGGTTATTTCAGAGAAGAGTGCATCTCCGGGACAGGTTGTGTAGTTGACCATTTGCCTGTGGCCTTTGAGGGTGAAGTTGGAGACCAGTCTGCCACCGCCCACGGCACACTGAACCAACTGGTGCCGGAGCAGATCCATGGAGTGGCGAGAGGGCAGCAACGCCGTGTAGTTCCCGATGAAAGACACTCCGTACCCAATGCTGTTCTGACCTCTGGTGTGTGTCCCCACTGTGTTCCATCCAGCGCCTTCGTACACGTACCCATCCGAACCCACCACAAAACTGCAGAGGGCAACACAGCGCCAAACATGGATCAAAAAAGTGAAACTGAGTACCATTTAAAGCATTTAAATATGTACAAGGAAGAGCTCAAAGCAGCATCGCCGGTTAGCTCTTTTAGCATTCCTCATATTTTACAAAGCAGAGGTCTATTTTTTCCTGATATTTGTACTTTACTAGACTGTTTATTTTTTAATAGAAATATGAAACAAAGAGAGAGCGTCATCTGTCACCTACAGTCTCTCTCCCTAAAACCTTCAAACAAGGTCAGATATCTAGGGGTAATACTGGACTCAGACTTAAATTTTAATAGCCACATCAAATCAGTAACATCAGCAGCTTTTTACCATCTAAAAAACATTTCCAGGATCAAGAACATAGTGTCTAAAGCAGACCTGGAGATTCTTATCCATGCATTTGTCTCCAGTAGGTTAGACTACTGCAATGGCCTGCTCACAGGTCTGTCCAAACAGGCTGTAAAACAGCTGCAGTACATTCAAAATGCAGCAGCTCGAGTCCTGACTAGAACCAGGAAGTACGACCATATTAGTCCAGTTCTCAGGTCCCTGCACTGGCTTCCTGTGGCTCAGAGAATAGACTTTAAAACAGCTCTGCTTGTGTATAAGTCTCTCCATGGCCTCTGTGATGGCAATCTGCCTGTGACTCGGGGACGCCAACTCACTCCCCCCCTGCTGCTCTATCCAGCTAACCTGCAGGAAGGAGCCAGTCCTTCCCGCACCGCCAGACAATGATGCAAATCACTGTCTCACCCCTGTCCCTTTCGCATCTTGCATCTGTATGCCTGCCTCTCTACATCCTGCATGACCATTGTTTGTCTGTTTGCACCTCCATGCCACTGTCTGATTGCCTCACCACGGGCATGGCGCCTACGCTCCCTATGCGCCTCCTGTACTGGTGGCCCCCTCCCATCTGTTGTGGGCGTGACTGTCTTTATGTGTTGTCTATGTAAACAGGAAGCTGAGCTCTGCGCGCCAGAGCTGATGCATGCTGCCTTTGTGTGTATGAGCTCTCCGCACGTGTGTACAATAAACTTACGCTCCTGATTAAGACAAATACTTTTGAGCTTTCTCCTTGCTTTGGGGTATGTAATTCTACAACACCTCGCACCAAAATATATTAGTGACATGTTAGTCCCATATGAACCAGCCCGGACTCTGAGGAGCACAGGGACTGGACTCCTGTTAGTGCCCAGAGTCAGAACTAAACATGGGGAGGCTGCTGTTCAGATTCATGCTGCTAAAATCTGGAACAGTCTTCCTGAAGATGTGAGACAGGCCTCCTCTCTGACAATGTTTAAAGCCAGGTTAAAAACAGTTCTGTTTAGCTGTGCATACAACTGAGGGATTTTATATTTTTAGCTTCCTTTTTAATGTTCTGTGATTATTTATGATTTTAATGCTTTCTTGTTTTGTTCAGCACTTTGAGTTGCCTTGTGTATGAATTGTGCTATACAAATAAACTTGCCTATACAAACAAACTTGCCTATGACTTGTACACTGCCCTACATTAAATAATTAATGTTGTGTTGTGGTGTGTTAATTAGTACCGGCTCACCTTTTTGTCATTGCCATACTATCTCGATTTTATTACATTGTTCACAGACCGGACGACAGTAGCTCAGTTGGTAGAGCATTGGCCTTTAGGCCTGAAGGTCGTGGGTTCAATTCCCACCTTGACACCTTCTCCACCGACTCCCACTGAAGTCTGCTGTCGTTGTGTCCTTGAGCAAGACACTTAACCCCACTTTGCCCAAAGCCCCCGCTGAGAGATCATGGCTATGCAGCCATCCTCCTGTGGACTCACCACCTGCAAGAGGATCAGTGAAGGGCAGGTGCTCTGTGACTTGGGTGGCATCTCTGACTGCCACCCCCCCCCCTGACCCAGAAATGGATTAAGGGGTAGAAAATGGATGGATGGATGTTCACAGACTGATTCTTATGAATAAAAAAATTAAAAATCTACTGTTTTACATATTTCAAGTGGTGGGTTTTTTTCTCCCATAAAATGACAGATACAAATCCAGCTATACACAGCATTTATGATCAATAACAAGTTGCCTCTTCAAGAACAATAGATCTGGTGTTTAAAAATTCATCATGCTTATAGAGTTTTGACCCGAGAGGTGTATACAGAAAACGGAGACAGCACCAGGGTTAAGACATAGCTGGTTCTTAATTGTTTTCAAGAATGCTACTTACATTATATTAGTGATTTTAAGGTCCATTTATTGTGACATTCACATCCTTTTTTACACCTTTTTTCAAACAGAGAGCTACTATTACACTGTACATGAGAAGTGGCAGAGAGCTACCCCTTTTTGCAGTGATAATAAAAATCAACGTAACAATTGCCACAAAACATGGCAAACCCATGTAAAATATTCCACACTCCTGTACAACCCTATTTATACTGATACATAATATTTAAGCAGAATAAATATGTAATGACACAAAATGTATTCATTCAAGGGAGCTACCTGTCTGGCGAGCTACATGTTTGTTTGGAGGTGTTGGTACCTGTAACCAATGTCCCTCCAGCCACGCTCATCCTGGTGAAAGCGCTGCATGGCCCTCATGTCGCGGGCGCAGTCACTGAAGGTCAGACAGGGCGCAGAGGGCGTGTACGTGTGGTGGACAAACAGGTGGTCCAGAGGCAGGGACAGGGGGAGGGGGGTTCCATTGTGAGGCTTTGCGCCCCACTGGCACCGAGGGATGATCTGAGGACATTCTGGACAGAAAGTGTGTCATGTTCAGGCTGAGTAGCAGGTTGAATTTTGTGGTTATTCCAATAATTTTTAACGAACACATACGTAACTGTGGCACTTACCTAACATTTAAAGGAGTCCTGAAAAATTGGCTGAAATAAAACCAGTCATGCTCCCATAGATTAAGTTACTGGTTTTCCTTTGACTTTTTCTTCTCTTTTAAATTCTTTACATGGTGCTTGTCGAGTTATTGTTTGTATTTTTACCTAGCTGTGTGTTTGTATGTTTCTATCTGCCTTAGGAAAATAGATGCAATTTAGCTATTGGTAATTCCAGCATATTTTGAGGCTGTTTGCCGACACATTGATTAATATGTACTGTCCTAAATTCAAATAAATAATTTAGGTGATGCAGTGAGTTCAACAGTGATTTTGAGTTTGAGGAAGTTCTAAACTTTTTTCCCAGACCACACGGTGTGAACTATTGCAGATGGCTTGAGTGAGTGTCTTGAACCCAAACTCCTTATATACTACAAAATTTTCTTCATCATAAATTCTGAAAGCGTGTTTTACCTAAGAATTAGGAATTAGGTGTGTAATTTTTTGTGACAACATTTGGCAGAAAGTGGCATTACATGTATCTCACCCCAGTATTTGTGCACAAACTCTTTCAGTCCCTCCTTCACCGAATGAGAAATGCCAGTGTCAAAGGCGATCCACTCAGTCCTCTCCAGCTTCCACACCAGCGCCAAAATCTCCATCACTTCGTTTTGAAGATCACGTGGCTCCAAGATCAACCGTGATAACTGTCTTCTTTTTGGGCTGATCTTTTCAGTGAAGTCATCCAGACCCTGCCCTTCTTGGAGGTCAAAAATGTAGTATCCTTTCAATATCTCACCAAGTGTTGGCAAAGCTTCAGATTTAGGCAGGTTACTCAGATGTGTTCCAAGTATAAGTCCATCCATACCTCCACTTATGACAGCATCAGTAGCTAATGTGGGTGTGTGGTACAGTTTGAAAACTTTGGGATAGTCTACATTATCCCAGCATCCATTTGGCCCTAAGCGATATGAAGCTGGGAAGTCTTGCAGGCTGAGGAAAGTCAATCCCAAAGTCCTCCCCAGTGTGAGAGGAAACAGCCCAGGTGGAGAGGACCCTTCTGTCCAGCCATTAAGTCCTGCTTCTATCCCAAGCATCAAAGGAGCAAGAGCCACAGTGGTGCCATCAGAAGCCAGGACTACACCCCTCTCCTCGCCATTGTCCGTCACTATGTGGTGGAGGGCCTTGTCAAAAAAACTGAAGGATGAGGTGTTGAGGATGGCAGTCTCCAAGCCTGCAGTGTCAAAAAGATGGGATGTGCCCAAGAAGTGTACGGTCATAGCATCATCATGACCCGCAATTCTGCGCAGAGCTCGGATCAACGCCAAGGGCGACAGACCGGGGTTGGAGTCTTCCACTTGCTCCACGGCGCGAATTAAGCTGTCAATATTACGTAAATGGCCAACTGAAAGAAAAGAGATTGATATTATTAAAAGTGGTGTTTTCACACTACTACAAGCACTGTGAATGGTATGGCCAGGTGTGGAAACGTAAGAGTAGTTTGCCACCCCTGTGTCCAAAGAGCGCCATAAAGAAGCAATGCATTATCAATTTTTTTATTTTTTATTAAGTGATACATAGACATACATAAAAGTGATACATAGACATACATAAAAGTGATACATAGACATACAAGAGTGACAAATAGACATACAAAAGTGAAAAAGGATTGGTACGACGGCAAAAAGAATGTTGAAGCAGCAGCAAAACATGGGGACATACAAAGAGATACAAATATTGAGACAACATAAAACATTACATAATGGTGTGTGTGTGTGTGTGTGTGTGTGTGTGTGTGTGTGTGTGTGTGTGTGTGTGTGTGTGTGTGTGTGTAACATTGAAGCAGCGACAAAACATGGGGACATACAAAGAAGCACAGATATTGAGAGAACATGAAACAATACCATATGGGGAGGGAGGGAGATGTGTGTGTGCGTGCATGTGCGTGTAAAAAACATTGAGGCAGCGACAAAACATGGGGACATACAAAGAAAAACGAATATCGAGAGAACGTGAAACAATACCATATAGGGAGGGAGGGAGATGTGTGTGTGTGTATGTGTGTGTGCAAGCGTGCGTGCTAGGAAAATAAAATAAAATAAAAATAAAATAAAAGGATAAACATAAAGTCAATTAAAAAGATCATCAACACCAACATTATTTATTACAATTTAAATTTATGTTTTATGAGTTAGGAGATACTCCAGCCTCCACTTTCTTTGCCTGTTAATCTGCTGTCTCTAAGGATTGTGAGTGTGTGTGTGTGTCTAAGATGCATTAAAAAGGACATGATTGGATTGTTGAAGCAGGTGTACTGCTTCACGTTCTCCTCATGTGTCCTGAGTCTCTTGCGTTGTGTGTATATGTATATTTATTTTCCCCTTATTAAGTTTCAATTTCTTAGTGTGTGGTGCATTAAAAACATAAAGGGTGGCGGTGGCTGGGATCGGGGCTAAGGTGAAATAAGTTGATAACTGGTGTTGGCGGTAATGACAGTCAAGATGGGTTTAAACGGATAGATAGAAAATAAGGGAGAGAGGGAGAAGAAAGAGAGAAGAAAAAAAGAAAAAAATAAAAAAATGAAAGGAGTGTGAGATATAAGCAACACATGATAGAGGATTAAAATGTATAAGTATTATTATTTTTGGATAGTGATGGAGAGTGGCTTTGTTAATCATTATAACTGAAAATGTGCGATGAATGATGCCCATGTTTCATTGAAGGCCGATATATGCCCCCCTCTGTGGGATGTATTTTTTTCTGTTGAGATGTGGTCGATGAGTAGGTTTGTCCAATGAGTGATGCTACATAGTTTTTTATTTTTCCAATTTTGGAATATTATTTTCTTTGCGATGGTTAGAGAGATGAGTAGGGAGTCATGGTGTTTGCTTATGAGGTTTGTTTGAGTAGTGTCTCCTAGAAGACACAGAGCGGGGTTTAATGGGATTCTGCAGCCCAAGATGGTGGAGAGTTTGTCCGTGACGGATATCCAGAAGGTGTGTACCGGTTGACAGTCCCAAGTGGCATGCAGGTATGTATCTGTGCTCCCTGAAGTGCATTGTGGGCATATGTCGGTATCTATAAATCCCATTTTTTTTAAACGGCTTTGTGTGAGGTGTGTTCTATGGATTGTTCTATATTGTATGAGTTGCAAATTATCGTATGTTGTTATAAATGCGTTTCTACAAATGCGGTTCCAGAAGTCGGGGTTGGGAGAGATGTCCAGGTCCTTTTCCCATTTGACAGAAGGCAGTGTTAGTGGATTGTGAATTGTTACTATTATTTTGTGGAGTTTTGAGATTAATCTTTTTGTGTTGTTTATGTTTAGAATGTTATTAGTCAGAGTAGATGGGAGTAACATGTTTTGTGTTAGACTGGTTTTACATTTGATTAAATTCTTGAGTTGTAGGTATTGAAGAAATTGCTCTCTCCCAACCCCGTACCTCTGGATAACTGTGGTGAATGACATGAATGTATTGTTTTCAAACAGGTGGTGAAGGTGAGAGATTCCCTTTTGCTGCCAGAGTGGGAAGTGAATGGGGGAGTTGTGTAGTTGGAAGTCAGGGTTGTGCCAAATAGGGGTGTTTTTACATGGTGATAGTGAGGAGTTGGTGATTTTGTTTATTTTCCACCAGGCTGTCAGAGTTGTGGAGATAGTGATGGACTTGAAGTATGGTTGTTTTTTTATTGATGGTGGTAAAAAAGGGAGATCTGCTAGGGGTGTATTTTGGCATTGGTTTGCTTCTAATTGAATCCATTGGTTATTATGCTTATGGTTATTTATCCAGATGTATAGGTATTGTAGTTGTGTTGCAAAGAAGTACTGATGAAAATTTGGAGCTTCAAGTCCGCCGTGTGATTTGGAGTTTTGTAAAGTTGCCAGTGATATTCGGGGTGGTTTATTTTTCCAGTAAAATTGAGTTATTATAGAGTTTAGTGATTTGAACCAGTTGTTTGTGGGGGTTATAGGGATCATTGTAAATAAATATGTAATTTGGGGTAGGATTTTCATTTTAACTGCGTCTATTCGACCGATCAATGATAATGGGTTTTTTCCAGGTATTTATAGTGTCGTCAATTCTTTTTAATAGGGGAGAATAGTTGAGATGAAAAAGCTCTGACAGCCTGGGGGAAATAGTGATACCCAAATATTTGATGTTACCCACGTGTAAGGAGGGGAGAGAGTCTTACGCTGCAGAATCCCATGAATCCGGAATTAGGGGGAGTATGCATTATCAAAATTAGTTGTTCACTGTTTACGCATTTTCTGATGTGCATATTTTAAGGATTTAGATATAAATTGAATAAAATGGAACTAATATTAAGTAAGTAAGTAAGTGATGTTTATTTATATAGCACATTTTACAGACCAAGGTCAGTCAAAGCGCTTTACAATGTTCAGAGTTCAGATATTGTTTCAATCATTCCACACACGGTGATGACTGAAGCGAGTTGGCGAACACACTGGCTCATCAAAGCCCCAAATCCACACCATCCATTCACTCTCTCATTTACATTCAGACCTAATAGACAAGCTCTACACTTTTTTGGAAGAGTGACGTCACGCACAAGTGATCATGAACTTGCTTGATGGCCACTGATTTTTATCAAAGGTCCCATATTTCACAGATAAACAAATGTGATGATAATTTGGGTGAAGTGAATTCGCAACACTCAAAACTTAAAATTATGCACCCAACAAAAAAAAAAATCTCCAATTTGATATGATGCAAACACTTTTAGTTGCTGACAGTAGCAGAAAAACAGCAAACCTCGATGTGGTAGAGCCTGCATGGTCTGATTTGGCGTTTTGATTTCTCCCCGTTAATCACCTCCAGTAGGCGGTCCCCTTTAATTCGAGTTCTCAATGTAAACTGAGGCGTTTTGCTTCCTCTCAAGAATGAAAGAGAAAGATCACTCTCTCACTAAAGCTTTAGGCAATCAATGAAAAAAATACTTTGGACATGTGAATGAAGGCCAAATACCACTGTAATGATGTTAAAAGCATAGAAAACACCAACAGCGTATTATGGGATCTTTAATAGTAAAAGTATTTTAATTTTCCCTCACCAAATCAATGATTTTGACACAGAATGACACAAATAGTTATTCTTGTATTTACTAAATACATAGACATACCTGCTGACCGGCTGTCGACAGAGAAGTAGGTCAAAAAAGTCAGACAATAAAACAACAGTCCAAATGAAGGCATTGTGCACATCCTGTAGAGAAACACAAAAGTTAAGTCGCGGAGGGTAATCCACAGATTTGGTATTATTTCGTTCCAAATGGCTTTAAAAGGTTGGATTACGAGAACATAGTGTGGATGTTGCCCACTCTGGGCAATCTGTTAAATGTCCAATTATTGATTTTGACCTTTGTTCGGTTAGTCAAGTCTGTAAGCAAAACAAACTATCTCCACAGTCAATGTTCAGGAGAACCAGATACAGATATATGAATGCCAAAGTGTTTACATTTTCACCATGAACAAATATTCACAAACAAGTACATTGTTGGCTTATTATTTATTGTAACAGTCAAATATACTTCTAGCATATATGGATTTAAACTACACTAAATGTATAGGAATGCCTAACGTCTTGGCCTGGCTCATTAGAACAAATAGCTGGACCAAGTGATTAGAATTTTCATTTCTCAGCATGGAGGTCCTGGGTTCTAATCCCAATTAGAACAGTCTGAGTGTAATTTGCATGTTCTCACCGTGTCTGTGTAGGTTTTAATCAGGGTCCACCAGTTTCCCATACCACTAAGAAGATGTACAATAGGTAAAACCCTCCAGCTTCAGTAGCCGGGGCCAAACCGAGCAACAACATCTGGAGATTGCACTGCTCCTGACAGAGGCCCAAGGGGCATTTACAGGAAGAGTCAATTGCAGAGAAGACTGGGACAGAATATAAATTAACCGAACCTACGTACAAATCAGTCTTTTAATGAAACCGTTGCATGAATCTGTAAGAGCCGTGTCACCTGTTTCTCTTGCTGTAATACAGGACAGCGGAATTTGAAGAGGCGACATTTTGTCATCAAATGATCATAGATGTGATTCAAAGTAACAATATAGTTTGCTACAGGCAATATTTAAACAATGTCTATGCTACAGGCAAATACTATTAAGTAGCCTGCTCTTACCAAACCATCGAATTCATTTAATTTCGTAGATGTAGGGAACTGATCATTTTATCAAGTTTAAAGATGGCTAAGGCCAGGTCAAGTGAAGAGCTTGAGAAAGACAAATATTAGCATGTGTCACGTGATGACGTCAGACGTGTGCTGCCGACTCTGTCACGTGGTGTGGGTCACATGGCCTGACAGGAAGCGGGTGTGTGTCACAGAAGTTATCGATGTTGTTTATCTGCAGCTGCACAAGGCTCTTTTAACATATTTTAACTTATTTAACCTATTTATTATTGTGTTTTGATAAGAATCGCTATGTCGTCAGAAGGGCCGCAGGACGCAGGTATATGTTTTTCACTCTCACAAATAGACTTGTTGATAACATAGTTCCTTTGTCTTTCTGGACACTAGACACGGACTTTTAATCTAACTGTGGGAGAGTAGAATTCTGTTTTGTTGTTTGGATTTTAATGCAGTCACGATGGCTTTTCCCCAGCTGTACTTACACTGTGGGCTAAACAAAGGCGTTGTTTATTACTGATCATGAGGCTGAGCTGAGATCCCTGATCTGTTACTCTGTCCATGGATATATCTGTTTCACCTGTGATCCTTTTTTCTCAAAATATTGTTCCTGTCCTAGAGGGTCCTTGTTCGTTGTCTTATTTTTAACATTGTCGTTCTGTTCCTAATACAGCCTCCATTATCCATGTTTACCAAATAAGTAAATCACGAATATAGTGCAGTGGTTAAGTTAGATTCAAATGGTATTGGATTAATTGCAGTGTCTCATTAATGTGAACAAACTGTCAGTCACCTTCTAATTTCTAAATACCTAACATTACAGTGTTATTAGCATTCTAGGAATTCCTGGGTGACAATGTTTTTAAAATTCACTCCTGTGTTGTCCTAGACGTCTGACCTGATCACGGAGTGATGATGAAGTGGTGACAGATGTTGGTTAGAATGAGTGACAGGCGTGAAGACTTTGTGAACTGGAGCGGCCTGATAGGTTCAAAGATTTGATGAAGGCGCCTGTCTAAAAGTTTCCCTATAGTGACCTAGTCCCATGCACCCAGCTGTCAGACTGTTGTCTCAGGTATCACACTCCTCTGATGAGACAGGTGCGCTTGGCTTCAAATATGTTGTTATCATGATTCAAAGTTGAGTGGCAGTTTTTGAGACATGCAAACACTGCTCAGTATATTGTCACAAAGGTGCAACATTGAACAAAACAATCATGAATATTTGAGGTTTACAGGAACAATTCTTTGCTTTATTGGCTCCAGGCTTGATTGGAATATCCCTGCTTGTCCACTCAGTATGTATGATTCCTTTCAACAGTTTTAACGGTAACCCAAAGGCAACGGAATGGCCTTGCTAACCCTTTTGTCATAGTAGGAAGCAGCTGTTTGAAAATGCCACGTGATTCCAAATAAGACACATTTTCCGCTTAAAGACCAAAGGGCAGTGAAGTCCATGTGGACTATATGGTGTCTCTTTGTTAAATTTGTTTAAATGTTTTTTCCCATGTCCGTCTTGATTTCATTTTTAGGCAACTACTACTATGAAACCAAAATAGGAAAAGTATGGGCCTCTTTATGTGTAGCGTTTACCTGATTCTGTGAGTTTAATGCTATCACTGATGTTCCCAATAATAATTAACGTTATTGGAATTATTACACATTTATAGTGAAGAAAATGTACAACAATGAATAAATGATTCATAATATTTTTGAATCTGAGAATATGTTGCAATACTGGCAGTTTTTGCCTTCTCATTCCAAACATTTAATGACAACCCTGGAATTGACTTCACAACCTGCCATCATAATGATGGGGTTGTGACATAGGTGTGAGACTGAGGTGGAAGTAATGACAGATCAGGCTTAAACTCATGTGCTGCTGACAGGGAGTTCTGCTGGGTTTAGTGATGCGAGGGCACTAGACATGGCATCAGCACATTGCTCATTTGTAATTTTTGGGATGCGTAACTACATACATTTCCCATTTTCATATGTCAGATCAAATCATAGCTGATATAATAAATAACTAATTATTTATACTTGTTGTGTCTTGTACTCACTGCATGTGTCAATTGTATGCACACAGAACGAATATGTAGTTGCAGTCAAACATCAAACCCATTTGTGATTTTAGAGAGAAAAAATATCCCTTTTTTGTCTCAACTAGGTAACTGGCAACCATTATCTCATGTGACGCTAATAGATAGATCATTTTTCATTATAGTGTCTTGCATACAAGGATGCCCAGCACCATTAAAAGAGATACAGACACAGGCCAACATCAGGCCCATAAACTTATCCAAACACAATTGCTTTCATTTATTTCTTCCAGTCTTTAGACAATTTAAAAACTTTTCTTTGAAAGAACCATTTCATCTGGATGTCGTCACTACACCAGAACAGATCAGGATCCTGAGTGAACATTTCATGAAAAAACATGTTTCTAAATTCATCAAAAGCCTGATTTCATCCATCCATAATCCATTTAATTCTTTTCTGGGTCAGAGCTGCAACAGAGCAGCCTTCCCTGATCCTCCTGCAGGTGGTGAGTCCACTGTCAGTGACAGAATAGCCTTGATCTGTCAGTGGGGACTTCAGGCAAAGTGCGGTTAAGTGTCTTGCCCTAGGACACAACAACAACAGAAATCAGTGGGAATAGGTGGAGAAGCCTTCAGGCTCAAAGGCCAATGCTCTACCAACTGAGCCACTGTTGCCCACCTTCGCACAAATTTTGATTTCTGGTTGGATCATTAGCATGATAGCCAATATATAATAATCTGTAGCCATCATCTTCATTGTTTTTGTAAGTAAGTGTAAATCACTCTTAAGATTGTTATCAGCAACATTTTTAAATAGATTTTTGAAAGAGATAGCATTACAGCGTCGTGGTTAGCCATCCATCTGGACCGGGTCTTTGTCTGAGAGCTCACAGTTTGTATGTTTATCTTTGTAACTGGGTGGGTCTCTTCTGCCCTTACTTGGCTCCTGCATCAAATCGAAACGTGCAAACCAAACTTAAAACAACAAACTTTGCTGCAGCTAATCTAATCTTTGTTTTCTGTCCATCTTTATGCATTTTTCTTTTTTCTTTGTATACAGAAGACCTGCCTTGCCCTGTTGCTTACTATGGCTCCGCAGACAGCAGCAGGGAGGACAGGGCACATAACCACATAAACCACCAGCTCCCGACTCCCTCCGCAGGTCGTTGGGTCGGAGCTGACCACAAAGAAGAAGCACTCCGGAGGAAACTAAAGTATTTCTTCATGAGTCCTTGTGATAAATTTCACGCTAAGGGCCGCAAGCCTTTCAAACTGATACTACAACTTCTCAAAATTGGCATTGTCACTGCACAGGTACATAAATTGACTTCTTGTTAGTGATTTGGGTAAAGTCCAACGCAGAAGCATAAAGTTACTGCTACTATTTTATAGAGGTTGACTAAAGGGCTGATACCTATCAATAGTAGTCAAGGTGGCTGATTTTTGATAAGTGGAGCCAATAGTAACTTATAAAATAGTAATATAGTAGTGAAAGTGAAAATATTGGTGTTAAATGATCTTTCCGGTTATTAAAGTATATTTTAAAAGGATGAATCCAAACTTAACTAATCAGGCACATGTACATGTACAGTAAGTAGGACTGTGTTACAACATGAGTACTGGCACAGCTGTTGAACCCTGCCTGCACAGCTTCCTGGGGCGATAATTGGTCAACCCCTTATGTACAACTCTGTTAAATTATATCTATAGTGTTGGTAAATTAATTTCTTTTTTGTGTCTTTTTAAAACAGTTGGTGTTGTTTGGCCTCAGTAACCAGGTGGTGGTCACTTTTAAAGAGGAAAACACAATGACTTTCAAACACTTATTTCTCAAAGACTACGATGAGTCGACTGATGATTCATTTGCGGTTTACACACAAAATGACGTTTATGACCACATGCTCTATGCTGTAGACCAGGTTTGCCCAAATTCATACTGATTTGTTAAGCACATTTTCCCATTTGGATGACTCAAGTGTTTTTACTTCTCCTGTGTAATCTTTTTCCCTGTAGTACTTGGCCTTACCTGAGACCACGATCGGGCAATATGCCTATGTCTATGGTGCTGGTGTGAACAGTACAGCGCTGCTCCTGTGCCAGCAGTACTACAAAAAAGGACATATCGATCCCACCAATGACACTTTCGATATAGACCCTCGTATACAAACAGGTAACAGCACTTTTCTTTTACTGTTGACGGATAAAGTTATCAAAGATTAGACATGACCATGTTTATTCTCCCAACAATAAATACCAGTTTATTTATGTTTTCCCTGATCTGGGGTCAGGCACCAGCACTTTGCCAGGAATGTTTCACAGTAGGATTAAGCATAGACTATTCATTGCTCAAAAATACTTTTGAAAACAGACTGTGATTGCCGTAGATCAGACTTGTATAACAGCAATAATGTGGGTCAATTTATTAAATATGATTGTGGGAGCCATTACCTATTATTTTGTGGGTTGTGGTTGCTGTGGCAACGTGATTTTATTTAGTTTGAGTGGGTTAGTTTTTGTGAACTTATTTTTAATGTTTTACCGAAAAGTTAATATACACAAACACACACAAATCCAGTACAACAAGGAACACCAAATCGGTATAACACCAAAACAAAATGAAAACTCATTGAAATACCAACTTTGTCTCTGGATGCATTCTGACAGTTCCAAGTGAGCAATACGCATTCACCCAAGGGGCTTCCATAAGTGGCATCCTTCTTTTAAAAGGCTTTTTCTCACCTTTAAAAAAATGATAAACTGACTATTTTATTTCAAATCTATTGTAAATCTTATTAGATAACTACATAAGTAAGTATTCTTCAATGTGTGTTCAGAATGTGTTGGAGTGAATCCTATGTCGCTTCCTTCACTTCCACTAACCGACACCTACAAGAACTTCACCCTTAAGTTCCACAAGTAAGAATGTTTCTACCTAGTGGATGGACAGATGGGTGTGTGTGTCATTTGACATGCACAATATTCAATTAATATATATATATATTATTAATATTAATATTCAAATATTACAATTATTGAAATATAAGTTTGATGAAAAATGAACAACTTTTCTTGTCTCTAGACTCATTAACGTCACCATCCAGTTCCAGCTGAAGGCGATCAACGTGCAGACTATCATCAACAGTGAGATCCCAGACTGCTACACCTTTTCAATTACAGTGAGTGTTTATTTAGATGGTGGGAAGTGCCGAACCTTATACTCAAGTAAAAAGGAATCATTTTACTTCATCAACTACTGCTACTATTGCTACTGCTGCTGCAACTACTACGATTACTAACTCACAATGTCTTTCATACCATTCTATAGCACTGAATTGAGCGAGAGCGAAAGATAGATAGAGCAGCAGAAGACTTCAGAGGACTATATATAATTACTGATAGAAACTAGCCATGAGCTAAATCTGTAACAGGCACGAGGGCTTCATTACTTCCCCATTCAAACATATAAATAATGTTTTAAAAAGTAGAAGTACAAAGTGGTAAGTTGTAAAACTACTAACAATTTGTACCTCCAAAATGAGGAAGAAAACATTACTCAAGTTGGGAAAAAAGACCTGAGAAGATATTCCAAAAAGTGTAAACCGGAAAACATTTGCACACAGCTATAGATTGACACAGACTTTCTAAAATGTGTACAAGAAGGTGGTGGTTTATATTTTGTGTGATTGTGCATGTTTGTAAAAGTTGACCCTATATTCCAGATCGTTCTTGACAACAAAGCTCACAGTGGCAAAGTGAAGATTTGGTTGGAGAATGATGTGTCTATAAAAGTTTGTAAGGATCCAAGTGTCTCAGGACAAGGTCAGTAATTGTACAGTTACATACAGTTTCTGACGGTTTATGTCATAAAACTGGATAATGTGATGATAATTACAGCTGAGAACTACTCTCGTGTGGCATTTGATATCATTGTGGCAGTGGTGTGCCTGTTGTCACTTCTCCTGTGTGGGCGCTCCATAATGAGAGGGATTATACTCCAACAAGTACGAACAGAATTATAGATACATGTAGATTCTACTGTTTTCTAACTTACTGCATGAATGGCTGTCATTTCAATCAGGAGTTTGTTCAGTTTTTCAAAGAGTGTATGGATCGTAAAGTGTACTGGTCAGACCGGCTGGAGTTCATCAACACCTGGTACATTCTCCTCATAATCAGCGATATATTCACCCTCATTGGCACATTTATCAAAATTGGAATAGAGTCCAAGGTGGGTTTATTACAATTATGTACACATCTCTTTCTTGTACTAAAATCCATCATGATTTCCTCTTGGTAGAATTTCGCAACCTATGATCTTTGTGGGATACTTCTGGGAACCTCGACTCTCCTCGTGTGGGTCGGGGTAATTCGTTACTTGACATTTTTCCAAAAATATAACGTAAGTGAATGTGCTTATATCACAGGGTTCTATTCAGTCACACAAGCAGTTACATCACAATACGTTATCAGCATTTTATGTGAAAGACCAACACAAAGTGTTTGCTTTCCCCAGTGGAGGGAAAGTTATGAATGACATAATTATTATTCTTGTTTTTTACAAAATAAAAAACTGAATAAAGTCACGTTTCATATTGATTTCACTTCATAGTGATTGTCACTTTATGTTGTTTTTCACATAAGAGACAAATAAAATCTCTTCATGTTTGTAATGTGATAATGGGGGAACATTTATGGGGTTTGAATACTTTTGCAGGGCACTGTATATGGGATACATGACCTGTGTCTTTCCAAATAGATATTGATCGTTACCCTCCGTGCCGCCTTCCCCAATGTCATACGGTTTTGCTGCTGTGTGGCTGCCATCTATCTCGGTTATTGCTTCTGTGGCTGGATTGTCCTTGGACCATATCACATGAAGGTAAATCTCTTTTATTTTGGTTGTAAAGATACCTGCTGTTACTGTGAACTGGTTCATTTTCAGTTCCGTTCTTTATCGATGGTGTCTGAGTGCCTCTTCTCCCTCATCAATGGAGATGACATGTTTGTGACGTTCGCGGGCTTACGAGAGAGCAGTACTTTGGTGTGGCTCTTCAGCCAGGTGTATCTCTACAGTTTTATCTCCCTCTTCATCTACATGGTGCTGTCGTTGTTCATCGCTCTCATCACAGGAGCATATGAGACAATCAAGGTACAATTAATTCCAGTGACAACATTTTATTTTCTATTTTTATTTGTTTCATGTATGTTTTCTGGTTCATTCAGCATCAAACCCAGGAGCCAATCCACATCACAGACCTGGATGCTTTCATAGCTGAATGCACGGATGCACCGAGCTCAGGAAAGTTTCGGGGACTGGAAACTTCCCCATGTTCATTCTTCTGCTGCTGTGATAGGTAATGTGACTGAACAATAATACCACAACTCTGATAACTTCTGTTTTCATTTTCATAACTATTTAAAATCTATTTACCTCCCAGAACAACGACATATGAAGATGTCCTTCTGGTGAACTGAAAACAACCTCAGTGACCTCAGGTGTGTCGCTACCTCCCTCTTGTGGCCTTAAGGACGCATTACTCCTAAATGCTGCTGTCAGAATGGGCCAAACTGCTTCACGCACAAACACAGACCTAACTGGTTTTATAACAGTATTCTTTCAAATATTGCCTTCAATCATTTCTATTACATGTGCCTAAACATGTATATTCTAAATATGTTTTAAATATTTATTAAGTGTCAATAATGTCAAACCGGACATGAGGGTTATTATGCTGAATAGCACTTTTTACTGCACATCTCTATGCATCTGAATGATGCTTTGTTATTAGAGGGTGGACATAAAGTCGTCCAATTAAATGCTGTTATTGCAAAGTAAAAGTTTTCTTCAGAGAAAACTACTGGTAAACCCAAACCTTGCAAAAACCACTTAAATTCGTGCTGCATTAGGTATGGAAAATCCACTTTATAATAAAAGGTCACTCGACAAGAGACTTTTCACTTTATGCACATTGCATTTATGATGTCAACCAACTGACAGAAAACAAAATGCAGTCATCACTGCAACCTCCTCTTATAGATCATAGTTTTTTTGTAATTATTTAACCAGAACCAGAAATGTATAATGTCTTCTGTGTAAACCTTCTTCTGCTTTTCTCTTCATATCTACACAATAATTGCCTGATAAAACGACTCGTTATTTTTTCATGCAGTACTTGAAGTTTTACCTGAAATCGAATTGTAGTATCAATGAACTGTTTGTGTTTTTATTCTTATTTTTATTAAATACGGTCAAGTATGTGTCCAGAAGAGAGTGCCCTTGTGTGTCTGTTTCTGTGTGTTATAATGAAACATCAATAACCCTGAGGTAAAGAGAAGTAATAGAATGTGCAAAGGTGTCTGTTTGTTATTGAGTTTGGACATATTTCCCGAGGGCTGCTGCTGGACTCTTCAGCCGCTCCAAACCTATGAGCTCATTTCCTGCTTATGGAGCTGATCAGACACAGGCTTTAGCTGAGGTCGAGCCTTGTCTTCTGTCGGATTACACCGTATATTATGCATCAGTTTAGACTCAACAGCTGGACACGTGTTTATCCTCAAATAGGTCTGAGGAAATGGGAGATTTCTACTGTGTGATGAAGGGTTAAACATGGCTTCTTTACACCTGGGGTACCTAACTTTCAAACCAACCACTAACTCAAAGCAGTTTTGTACAATCACTAGTTTTCACACATGCATGTATTTCTAAGCATTTTATGTTTCTTGGAATGTTTTCTAATTAAGAGATTAGGCATGTAAAAACATTTAAACTCTAGTTTAAATAAATAGATAAGATAGATAGATAATTTATTGATAGGAGAAATTCAGGTGTTCAGAAGCAGCAAAAATAGGAAATAAAAAAATATATAAAATATACTTGTATGTGAAGTCAAGTTAAAGAAAAATGTTTTAAGGAAGAAGGCAGCCCACCTCTAACATTTGGAAATATCTGAAAATTGTTTGAAACAGCTTCAAGTATTTATTATAACCACTAAAATACTAAAAGATGGTACTGTATTATATGTCATATAGAGCCAATATACACGTTTGGAATGTATTGACATTAATGTAAAGAGATGTTCACATTGATTTACATGGACAATATGGCAAAAAAAAATCTCAATTTTAATGCCCCTTTTAGACGGCCCTGTTTATCATAATGATAGACGTTCAAGTGCAAAATTGTAAGCAGTGAAGTCTGGAGCACCAGATGATTGCACCAGTCTATTCTAATTGTGTTAAGGGTTTCCTCTATGCTGCAGCACGGCCACTCCCCTGTGAAACCACATTACGACCCATTTGAAATGGATGGGCAGGATATAAGAGGGATTGGTAGTTTTGTAAGGAAATATTAGTTACACTAACAACAAATGCATCGGGAGTACTCAAACATTTAAGTAAAATAAATCTTATGTTATTGCTAAAAAGGAAGCGTCTTCATACAGATTTTGGTGGATTTAGCTTTATTCAAAGAAAAGTGCATTACAGATCAAATAAAATCAAGACAGTCCACTTTCCACTCATTGAGAATATGTTTCTTGTGGCTCTATGATTCACACCCCAGCGCCTGCAAATATTCTGTGGGTGAGTTTAATGAGGATGGTAAACACAGATTTAGGGGAATTGGGTTTTTCCCGTCACTGGATGTTTGTTAGCAGTTGGAAACATTGAATCTGGAGGTTTGAATATTGTGGGCAGGACCATGACTCACTTTTAGAATTGCAACAAATCATCTTATTTAACTTTAGGTTTGTTATTAGGGGCCTGAAGAAGACAAGCAACAACGCTATTATAGCTAATCAAAATAACAAATAAAGCATAGTTCCTGCATTGTCTTTTTATTCACTTTATTGCAAATAACCCACTTATATTAAAAGAGGGATTCACCCATTCATGCTTTTTTGTTCCATTGAGTCTATTGGGCTTTGTCTTTGTTCATAGTTAACCCAATTGTAGAGCCTGCAGCTGCAGTGCATTCATACAATCACTGTTCACTGTATAATACAATGCATTGGCACTATTGAAAATCAGACAATAGCATGCACAAGCCTTTTGCACTGTAAATATTGCAAATGTTAAACATACAACTCTCTTCTCGCCTTCAGGAAGTCCTAGTATGAGTGTGTGCAATGCAACAGCACAGGGCAGAGTCTTCAACACATACACATCAGGACTACAAAACTGTTGTGCTTTGTGTGTGTATTTGTGTTAGTTTAGTACATTTGTCTGCTTATACAAAGCACTATATGTTGTTATTACCTAACAATTGTTCGTTATAATTTTGAAACAACATGTGAGAACAGTTGATCTGTAATAAGATCATCCCAAAGGCATATGATAGTCCATAGACTCTTATCTGCTGCCCCTCCTGTCCTCGGAGGAGCGCGGGGAAAGAGGCTGGCTCTTCTATGTGACGTCAATGTGTATTTGCATAAACTCTGAGCACACGCCCTGATTGGCCTACAGCTGGTCTTTAATCTACATGTTCAGTGTGAGCCCCACGCTTCGTCCCACAGCCCTGTCCTGGTCACTCCCCCTGCTGTTGGCGCGGCTCAGGCGTGGAGCACACGGAGGAGCACACGGAGGAGCACACGGCTGCAGCTGGCCCTCATTGTCTCAAATTGTGACATTTCCACGGCTCCAGCGTCGTCTGTCGGGACGTCGGAAAGAAAGAAGAGCCTGGACGTGGACATATGTGAAGGTAAAATGATATTAACTACGACGTGTGTGCCTAGCACGCACAGTTATGTCGTTTACGGCTCTGTTTTGTTAATCGTTTGAATATGTCTTGGCACAAGTTTACTTCTGCACATGCACTTTGCAGTATATAGTGTTGGTGTGTGCTTTGCCGCCTTTAATGCAGCTTGTGAGGGTCCAGTGGTAGATGATGGATGGCAAATGTAGGCGTCGTTAACAAACGTGACAAACACCAAAAGCAGCGGGTCGCACACTAGACTGTGTGCTCTATTAATTAATGATGTGGCTTTGAGTGTCTGACCTGCTTTGTACTGCTCCTGACATCTAAACAGGGCCGTGTCAACATGTATGCTAATGGTCTTTCTCCTGTCTGGTAAAATCACACGTGGACCTCCACAATATTCGTATCCAGCACCCAAGGAACCTGCCATTATTCTAGTTCACCAAAGTAGTGCTTGTCCCATGATGTATTGTATATATTTATTGCAATAGTGTAATACATTTCAGTTAAAGCAATACCCTTTCCATCATGACAAGTTGGACAGTGCATCTATATTGTGTCTGCTGCTACATTATTCCCCCACCACTGAAACTGTTCCACTGTGTTTAGTATATTTGCGTCACAGCAGTGAAGCCATCCAAAGCACATCTGCAGGTTTGTGAGAGGCGGATGCTGTTTATCCAGCATCATCCCCATTCCCCATGTTTTGGCTCTCTGTCTGTATTACATAATCAGAGCATTTGGAGCTGGGTGTGGTGGAAGAGGCTGGAGGGGTGTGGGAAGTGCACTCACTCTCTCTGGCTTGGAAAAGGCATTTAACGTCCTCATTTCCTCCTGTGTGAAGTGCAAACTCCATTGACAATCCCTGTCGTGCTGCTTTGCCTGGATGTGTGATGTGCTGCTGTGTAGTTTGTGTCACCTCAGTGTTCGACCATACGCTTGCTGTTATCCTTGAGTGTGAGCAATATGGGGCAGTTCAACAAGCTCCCTATGGGGTAGGCAATATTGCCTATTTGAACTTAAAAAATACTTTAACTTTGGCAATTTTATTGATCATATTTGTGCTTGTCGTAGAAGACTCACTACTCGGAGGATTTGTTCCTCAAAATGTGACTGTATTTGTTATGATAGGTATTGCCATTCCATTTGAATGGTTCAATGACCTCCTTCCTAGTCCTCTATCATTGACCTTCTCTTGAGGGCAGCCATAAGGAGCGGAAAGGAAGCTGACACTACTTAATATAAAATCTGGATCCTCTTAACCAGTCGTGGAAACTGCAGCTGGTCTAAGGGTATTAAAATTACCACAAACAGGACTACAAGTGCAACCACTTTGTTTAGCTGAACAGTTTGAATATGAATCGCTGCACTTACTGTACCATCAGCTGTACATAGCCACAAACACAGGGTTAATATATTACACATTCCTGTCCCTGGTAAAAAAATTTATCTAATCTGCTGTTTGAAGAATCCTTTGGGCAGATGCATTGGGGTATGTCTCTTTAATGCTCTTGTGAACATCTTGGGTTTCCTCTTGCACATTTAGAGGTTGAGCTTCATACGAGTTAGGTTGCAAGTAGAGTGACACCAGGTTTTGTGAGAATTTGTCTCAGACAATACATCATTGGCAATACCTATCATGACCAATACAATCACAGTTGTGGAACAAATGTTTGTATTTATTTTAAAACACAATTTTACAATCCTTTATTAAACAAGTCTGAACATATGCCGTTTTTGAACCCGTGTCTAAAGGTGGTTTAGAAGGAAGCATCTGCAGTAAATGAACTGTTTACAGGGCCTGCGTTATAATGGACTACCTGTAAATAAAAGGTACATGTGCCAGCAGATCCTAAATGGGACCTTTGCTCGTGTCACAGCCACTTGCACATTAAAAAAGGCGAGTGTAATGTGATGGACAACAGATCGATGCCACTGGGTAAAGCGCTTACTTTAAGTTAAGATGTGCTTTAAGATAAGATGCACTTACTTTAGCCCTTACTTACTTACATGTTAAAAGTAAGAAGTTAAACTTCATGCCGTATATCGAAATCTGTGTTTCATAAATTGACCAGGTAGAATGCACAGAATCAGCGTATTCTTATCCTTTATATTTATGTTTAATTATAATTAAATATATATATTTTAAAGTGCCTGTCAACTTTAAAATTATATATATATATATATATATATAAGTGCCTGTCAACTTTATGAATAGAGGAGAAATGGGTCAACACACAGCAAATTGTGCACTGTCTGCATTTGCATGTGGAGGTCAACTCCTGAAGTCTGCTCTCTCGTTCCTGTGGTTGGTAGACTGGCACTCAATTAGTTTGAGTGGTAAACAGTGGACACTAGGTTTTGGCAATAAGAATTATTCCCCACTTTAAAATATTCGCATTGTGCTCGAGTCTTCATCTCTATGCCATGGTGACTTTAAGGTTTAAAATGTAATTTAAAATCTACAACCTTACTTCAAATCCAGAACGTGTAGCTGGTTGGTCAGACAATGCATAACCTGTTATCTATAGCGAACTATCTGAATGACGTCACTAAGACACGCCCCCGCCGCCTGTCAACTCCCGCCCACATGTTTCGGACAAACACTGCCGAAATGAATCAAATACCACTTGTCACTTTAGACGAAAATGAAATACCAGGGGCAAAATTCCACCATCAAACCATCAGGGATCATAGTGTAGACCAATTATAACGTTGGCTTGAATGTCGTGGTCTTCCAGTAGAAAGTTTGAGTTGATAAAAAGATAATGGTAAGGATTATGCTAACATTATCTAGTCATTTAAATTGCAATGCTAGCGCCTTCTTTGTTTGTTTTGCTGTGATTAACTTCCATTTATCAAGTTTTTTTTTTTTTGCACTATCCACTTTGTAATTAGTTTGATCATTAGTTAGCTACAGTCAGCTGATATTATAACAGATCCATGGGGTCACAACGGGTTACGCCACTACTGTCTCTGAGAGAGAAACTATCGGAGCTAGCCACACTCAGTAAACGCAAATGACCATCAATCGACACATTTAAATGTTAATGGGAGAATACATTATACATACATTCATAACACAAGTGCACGGAGGTTTTCAGAATTATCTGTTCAGGTTTTCATGACAAAAATACTTTTTTAATGCAACTAAAGCGATCGCTTTTTTAAAGTAGGTTAACTATCCTCACTGTTATTCGCCTGCCACGGGAAAACCTTTGGGAACTATTTTCTTTGCACTCATTAAATAAACCTTTCGGCATTAATAGTGAATGACGTTTATTTTGCGTGTTGAGTTGGTACAAAGCCGTATAATAAGCGGACCCCGACGCGCTTCGTCTGAACTTATTTTCCGATAGTCACAAAGTTGAAAAAAATCCCTCTCATCTTTCTTCAGGTGTGAGAATTGTATACTTTCTGGATTAGGACAAACAATACTAATATGGATTGATGGGGGTAAATGGTGTAAAGAGAGAGTTTGTGCTAACTACATTCAGAAGAGCTCAGACGGACCAGATACAGCGGTCCAGATCCAGTCCCAGCTAAACGTAGCTAGGACTGGATCTGGAGGCTCCACAGTTGGTCCAGCGAAGTGTTTTGAAAAAACATGTGTCCTTTTTAACCTTTTCATGAGAGAAATTCTGCCGACCACAAGCACCCACCTCTTGCACTTGTCCTGGTCTGATCTGGTCCTGGTCTGGTCCTGATCTGGTCCGATGTTGTGGTTTAACGAACGGGTTGAATGTTACTTTGATAGTCCTTTTCAGAATATCTGAAATCGCTCCGACAAGCACCATAACTGCAGTGTTTTGTTGTCACCATGATTTAATGATTTAGCCCAAGTAAATACACACGCGTATGTGGAGAACACAGTAGAACTCAACGCGTCGTACACAATGTTTGTCCGAAACATGCGCGCATGCGCAGTCATCTGAGCTATTTTTAGCACATTTCGGAAACCGGACAGTGCCCTATTGAAAACCAGTGTGTTGGGTGGGGTGGGGTGGAGGTATGGGTTCAGTCTGCCTGGATTGGTCTTACTCGGCTTCATCAGCTGGCTGGAGCTCAACCCTGAGCACTCTGTATCCACTATAGTGTATTGGGCTTGCTGCCACTGCGATCAAAATCATGCGATCAGTGACTTGCAAAATGTTAAATCTCATTAATCACAAAAAATAAACAATGTGAAGACCCTTACCCTCATTAATCATTAACACTTTCCAGAAAACATTGTAATAACGAGGCTTTACATGAGCCGTGTTCATGAGATTTATGTTTGTACTTATTTCTTTGCTAAAATCATACACCCTTCACACATAAATGCGGCTGCGCTTCAGGCACATCCACACCCAGTTTAGCCCTGTGTGTATCCATTGCGATGCTCTAGGGCCAAGTTTATACCAAGATGTAGCCAAGTGATTTGCGAAAAACGACCCCACTCCGGAATCTAAGTGCAAATTCGATTTTTATACAATGAATGTGTGTAGTAGTCTTTAGTTTAAAAAAAAAAATCATTCTTTAAACAAACAAAAGATTAGTATTAAGCAATAGGCCTAATTGTTTGTTCAGGTGTAAATCCGATCGTGTGCACATAACCTCACTGACTGATCATTAACCTGCTATGCTTCAGTCGGTGCCTGCGGTCTCTGGGTCACAGTAGCCACACCAGCTGCTCCTCTAAACCCACCCATGCACCAGTTAATCCACAACATGCCCACCCCCATTACCCCCAGCACCTCCAGTCCTATGCCTAACTAAAGCAAAACTCAAAGGGGGTGTCACCATGGTGTCCTGGGCAAACAATGGCTCTACCCACCATCCCCCAGGGAGTACCCCACTTTTGGTTCGTTTGTGTTGCTCAGTTTATTATAGATTAGGATTTCACCATAACTTTGTTTTATCAGTTTCAGCCCAGTTATGATGTTGCCATTTTTAGAACTGATTGCAACCCATCAACCGTATTTTGCCACTATAGCCAGGAGCATAAGTATGCTCATTTGGCG